ATTCGAACCCACGACCTCCGGCTTGTAGTCAGCAGCACTAACCACTAGACCACCGTCGGCGTGGATGGCATAATTGTCTAAAAAAATATTCTCCAATTGGACATAAATCACATCTTTATTTAACATTTTTCATTTGACTTTATTTACAAATATAACAAAATCTGTTTTTTTTATTTATTTAATAAAATAACACGTTTTATTTTGTGTTCCAATTTAAAATTAAGTGCAAAAAAAATTGAGTATACGCACGAAATTCACCGTAAATACGCACGCGAAGATCCGTCCTCCCATTGAATTCACCGTAAATGCACAAGTGAAGCTCGAAGTGAGTGCGCATGCATGCTAAAATTCGCGCGAAAAAATTGAAATTATGGTGAATGCACATTTTTTGTTCAGAAAACTTATTTTATTCTATAGGGGAAAATATGTTTTCTGAACATGCACCCTTATTTCATTTTTTTCGCGCGAATTTAGAACACGCATGCATTTACGGTGAATTTAAGGGACGGACGCATCTTCACGTGTGCATTCACGGTAAATTCAGGTGTGCATTTAAGGGGCGGACGCATCTTCACGTGTGCATTCACGGTGAATTCAATGGGCGGATATGTCTTCACGTGTGCATTCACGGTGAATTCCAGGGGCGGACGCATCTTTTAGCAACCGTGAATTCACGCGTGAAGCAATATTTTTCACCGTGCATTCACGGTGAACTCACGAATGTTATCTGGGGACATAAGGCTTTGTTGCAATGTTCCTGCAACATTGCCACAAGAATTTTTGTAACATTACACCTAACAAATGTAACGTTCAGTAACATTGTAGAAATATTATTTTTCCCAGTGGGCTGCATTTCGTTTAAATCTGCATTTATCCGGGTTCATCAAGTGTTTTTCAAACAAATTCCATAAAAATTGAAGATGTTATAATTTCAAATGTATTTAAAATTAAAAATATGTTTACTTTTCCAAAAACTCTTAAAATCTAATTTAGGTTTCAGTATCTAGCAAAAAAAGTTGTTAAATGTTAAACAAAACAAAATATAATGTTTAGGTTCTATAGGGATGTTTAAAAAAACTGCATTTTTATATTTTTTTAATACATGTATTTATTTATGATTTGATAAAACTTTTGTATTTATTGTTTTTATTTATTTTTTGCAAGAAAAATTTTTAGTAACAATTTTTTACATCTGGCAACGCGCAGTTACTTTGTTGGTTGGTATCTATGTACTCACAGAACACAAGTGTGCAGAGATAAACCAAGTGTGTAACCAGTGGCGTATCACAAAAAATATAAAAAACTTCTAATGCATATTTTTTCTTTATCTTTGGAAAAATATTTTTCCTTTACTTCTTATGTCAAAAGGTATTCAGTATTTTAATATACAGGGTGTCCGGGAAAAGGAGGTCAATCCGTTAACCATATATTCTTTGAGTTAAAACAATAAGACTTTCATAATACCATTTTTCAATTTAGAGCTTCATGTTCGATATACAGGGCGACAAAGTTTGTAATTTAAAACTGATTTTTTTTAATAATTCAACTAATTGATAAGATATTAAGTTTAAATTCGGTACACTACTTCAACATAAATAGTTACATTTTTTGAGACCAACAAAACAAAAAACAATTGTCAAATAATCAAAATAGGGGGGTCCAGTACTCACTGACTCCCCCTATTTTTTAGTACGTGCGCCAATGACTTCCAAACGGTATTTTTTCAGGTAATCATTTATTGTTGAAAATTTTTTGTCTCTTATAAAATTTTGATAAAATGATTTGTTTTAGAAATAATTTGTAAAGTATGGGTCAATCCATATCAAATTTTTAAAATTTAATTTTTTTTTTTGAAAAAATTTAGGTCATGTGATATATCATAAAAAGGTCTCTAATAGGCCTTTAAAATAAGCCATCACTCACATTTCTACTTTTAATAGTTTACGAGATATCGCTATTTTTGTAAGTACTTGCAAAACCCAAATTTATAGAAATTTTTTGATTTTCAAAAATCAATAAAACAAAAACCACCCATCAAAAAAAATTCATATATGGGATTTTTGAGTTTTTTAGTGAGGTAAACAAATTTACCAAAAATGATCAAAATCGGAGATGGTGGGGGAAGAACCTTTGGTTGATTTGATATGGACTGACCCATACTTTACAAATTATCTCTAAAACAAATCATTTTATCAAAATTTTATAAGAGGCAAATTTTTTTTAACAATAAATGATTACCTGAAAAAATACCGTTTGGAAGTCATTGGCGCACGTACTAAAAATAGAGGGAGTCAGTGAGTACTGGACCCCCCCTATTTTGATTATTTGACAATTGTTTTTTGTTTTGTTAGTCTCAAAAAATGTAACTATTTATGTTGAAGTAGTGTACCAAATTTGAACTTAATATCTTATCAATTACTCGAATTATTAAAAAAAATCAGTTTTAAATTTCAAACTTTGTCGCCCTGTATATCGAACATGAAGCTCTAAATTGAAAAATGGTATTATGAAAGTCTTATTGTTTTAACTCAAAGAATATATGGTTAACGGATTGACTTCCTTTTCCCGGACACCCTTATAACATTAATTACATAACACCCTGTATATATATATACCTAACCTAATTTTTTAAGCATACCAAATATTACAAAAACTTAATCGAGTAGGTAATCAAATACAAAACAATATTTAAAATCTTACTTACCACAGTATAACAAAAACCAAAACACTTAAAATAATACTAATGCAGATTCTATATTGCAGAATAATCTCACATTTCTTAAAAAAAAACCGTTACATATGACATGACGGCACTACCAGAGATAAAAAAGTACATTACCTCTTATAATATGTAATATCTCTATAAAGTAGGGCGCCACAATGATATTTTACCAACTTGCCCATATCGAGGATTTATTCCGAATATTGCCGAACCATTAAACTTTAGCTGCTAAAGCATTATAATTATGGCGATAAATTTGAATATGTAGTGCCACTATAGTAGTGGTTATGTTAATTTAACACAAAGATGTCAAGCACAAAAAATGTAAAACCAGTGTACTCCAGTTTTGTGTTGTCTGCTGAAGCAGATAGGTCGTAGACGGCCTTCCTTTAGCAGACAATATGGGACTCCCAGCACAAAAATAAGCTGGTAATTAACAGATATACAAAATCTACATCAGATTAAGTAAGTTATAAGAAATTTCCACAACGGATGGTTAAAATATATATAGAAATAACTCTGAACACAACCATTGACCATTTGATGCATGATTGAAATGAAGAAAAAAAATGTTATTTGTATGAAATAAAATGAAAATACTGATTGAAGTCCTGAAATATTTGAAGAAAGAATAGAATTATTGATGAAAGAAGAAATTTATATGGATGTTTGTAAAAGGTATGGTTTGATAATTGTTAATAATGTGAATGGAAATGGAATAAATGAATAAGTCAAGAACAAATACATAAAACAAGAATAATGGTGAAAATACTTATAGAAACAAGAAAAAGGAAAAATATGGACGATGCAAGAAACTTAAATTTATAAGACGGAAAACGAATAATATTGAAATAAACCATAAACAGTAAGAATATAGATAATAGATAAATGATTCAAGGGATGAGTTTAACTCAGATTCTCTTGATTGAGACCCTTGATCATATTAAATAAATTTTAAAACATAATGAGCTGGCCAAATAGCTTGTAAATAAGCTAAAGGCCATTACCCCTGAACACAGTGCTTCTGTGTTCAGATTGAAGAAGAAGAACCAGTGTACTCGTGTCCATTTTTACATTTTTAAATTAATTAAGTACAAGTAAAAGTACTTTTTTTAAAATGTAATTTGGATTGAGTACCGAGTACATAAAAACTACTTAAAGTACAAAATTTGAGTACGAGTACCGCACAGCTCTGGTAGAGTCATTTGAAATGCGAATAAATAAATGCATTGTTGAAGTTGAAGGCCACCATTTTGAGCACCTACTTTAATTAAAATTTAAAAAATAAATAAATGAATTTAAAAAATAAAACCAAGTATTTTATTTAAAAATTATTGGAGAATTGTATACAGAAGAAAAATCGAACAAACATGAAAAAATGTTTTAGACAAAATCTACCTATTTTTGGTCGAATGATCCGAATCTGCAATAAAAAATAGGGTGTTCTGTTGAAAATTTTAAAGTTACCCACTGTTCCCCTATAAGGAGGAGAGTATAAGGACAATTTTAGTACTGATTGATTCCCCCCTCGAATCTTTTTTTATTTTAAACATTTTTTCGTAAAATGCATACTAACTGAGATATTTCAAGTTAAATGACTTACCCTGTATATATGTACATATATGATTTTGGTAATGGTACACCTTTTTCCATGGTTACCATCATGTATTTTGCTCCATCTCAATCCATGTAAGATCTATAAGACCTATAAGGTCACTTATTACTTTTGGGACCTTTCTTACTATAGTTTAATTTGTTAAAAAAAAGGAAGGGTTTGAATGTAAAATATGTGTTGGTTATGTATACAAATTTATTGAAACATACTTTTAAATTAAAACTAATTTTTTTTATAATTCTATTATAGCTGTGGTTACGTTCCCGAGCACAGCAAAACTATACATTTGGCAATATGATCTGAAAGTTAGCCTAACAACAGTTTGTTGCAAGTAACACCTTACTCACTATTCACTCGAGTGTCCATTGCACAAGTCAGTCAAGGGCCCCCCAAAAATACCACACAAAGCAAAAATATACATAAACTCAAATCAAAGAAAGAAAAATTAAACACAAAAAGCACGATAATTTTATGAAATGGTTAAAATTATTATGTGTATTTATTATTTTTTATAGTGTAATAATAACCCGCTATATGGGGGGCTATATAAACGAAAATATATATTAGTTATTGTTTATGTTTATCGGTGAGACACCGGAGTAGTTTTTAATATAAAATTACACTATTTTCAATGAATATTTATCAAACGCTTTTTACAAAAGATTAGGAAAGATAAAATGAATGCTGTCCTTCTGAAGCCGCTAGCCGAAGCTTCTCTCTCATCACTTCGATCGTCGAGTAGTCTGGTAACTTAAGGTAGTTTACGCATGTCATCACAGAGGGAAGGAAGTGGTCCGCGTTCAAGTTGCCCTCCAACGTCTTACGCACTACGGTTAACGGCGGCGACAAAGCCTTAAAACCTAAATAAACAATACCATTTTTAAAATATTACAAAAATAAAACATTACTTTATATTATGTATAAAGTTAATATGGAAAGCTTTCTTGAGAGTTCGACTTTTTTAAAGTGTACATTTGTCAAGACAATTAAGGGCCTTCTGCAAATGTAGAAGTAAAAAGTAAAGAGCTATATGATAGTTAAAATTACTACCTAATTTTGGGCTGCTGATTTCAAAAATGCCACTCGTTTTGCTCCAGGACGTCTAGGATTCGAAATAATTGCGTAATAAAATGCTCTGCCGAATTATCTCAAAATGTAAGTTTTTTGTTAATATTTTGATTATTTATTAAATTATTTTGCCTTAAATCTATTTTGGATGTTCAGTATATTTTTGAAGTTTTTTGTTAAAAACATACAGGGACTCCATACAAAGTCATCGGTAGATAAATGTCAAATAGAATTTTTTTTGTTCCATTGTAGCCGTATTTAATAAAGCACTTTTTTGCAGAGGTGCTTTATTAAATACAAAAACTAAAATTATGTATTTTTGGTATAAGTATCATTTATTAAATTTTTTTGTCGTTTTGGTATAAGCATTACTCTTTGACTATTATTTGATATGTTTTTATTCACATTATGCCTAAAGAACCCAAAAATTTAATCTCAAATCTTATTTATTAAGTCTTATCAAAATTTAATATCGAATTGAAGTATAAAGGCGCCTTTATCTACTTTATCGTTCAAGCATCTATTAATTGAGGAGCATCCGTGCAAAACCGGCTATATCCACTTTAATAAAATGTCTGGAAAATGGCAAAAACTCTCGGTTTCCTGGCCTTTACAGATAAAAGAAAAAGCAAACTTGAGTTTTGTGGGCTTTGTAGTACACTCAAAAAAATATTTAGTAAATTTACACATCTGATCGTTGGTTATTTTGATGCCACGTATTTAAATGTATATGTACAAACATTCTGTAAAACTACATATAATGTGTAAAAATGCAAAGGTCATGTAAATGTAAAATTTAGGAAAATAATAGTACAAGTACATTAAAAATTGTAAAAGCACATAAATTTAAGGATTTATTACATAATAATATGAAAAACTACATATTAATTTAAAAAAATACATAAATTGATGCTATTTTACTTATGTAAGTATGTGTGTACATGTTTTATATGGAACAACACATTTTTTAAGTAAAAAAACAGAAATAAATGTGTGTTTGGATGTGTAAAATTTCGTAAATTTTTTTCAGTGTACTTGATTTATAAGACATGGTTTCGTTTTTAAAAACTTTATATTAAGGCCAAAATTTCAAAAAATGTTTTGTATTTAGCCGGTTTTGCTCGAAAACCGAATAAAAAACGAATAAAATGTGAAAAAAAAACATTACTCAAAAATATTAACAAAATAAATTTAGTGCAAACATGAACAAATTTTAGTAGTAGTATCGACATATCCAAGCCACATGCTCATCATCATTATTATTTATTGGATATAGTCGGGTTTGCTATAAAAACGTGGATTTGGCAGGTTTTGCTCCTAAAGCTACCTTTTAAATGTGATTTTAACATGGGTATAGTTGGATTTGAACAGAATTATCTTGGTGTCGATAGAAATGAACCAAAAAATGCGAAATAAAAAAAAAACAAAAACTGAATAAAATGGATTTAGCCGGTTTTGCATGGATGCTTCTCAATTATTGACATTTAAAATTAAAAACTTTAAATTGTATTTTTACTTGAAAGTGATTTTAAGAACCAAAAATTAAAAAGAAGCAGAGAAAGAGAAAGGAGACGAACATTTACGTCGTCGTTGTAAATTTGTTTTGTTTTTGTTGCGGTACCTTTACGCCCAAAAAAAACCAACGCAATATTTAATTAATTTAATTTATGAGATATACCTACTACTTTAATTTTGCAGGAATATTAAATGGACCTGATATATACGACGTTTAATGAAAAATCAAGCAATGTTAAAGCTGTCATTGAAAATGTTCTTGGTTCATATCGGTCCAAAAATTGGCGCCAATTCATTAAAAAAATGCTTTCCGTTTTGTAAAGAATTAACGTTAATATGTCAATTAAAATACATTTTCTTTTTTTTTCATCCTGATAAATTTGCCGAACTGATGAACATGGAGAACGATTTCACCAAGTAACTGCAAATCTAGATCATTGGTAGATATCTGTGGCTATAGTGGAAAGAAGTTGGATTCATTGCTAGGAGACATTTGCTGGAATTTGCAGCAAAAGATATACGACGATGATGAGGACGATGATGAGGATTAATTTGGATAAAAAATACTGAAACTTGTTTACTTTGTTGCCGTTTCAATTTAATAATTAAAATAAACGACAAAAAATGTCAAATAATGGTTGTTTTTTTTTTTAATAAAATACATTAAAATTTTAGTTTTAGTATTTAAAATGTCATATTGTTAAGATAAATATGATCTATTTGCCGTATACCATTTACTTTAGTACATTTAAGATAAATTTAAGCTAAAATAATTTAATAAATAATTAAAATACCAACAAAAAAGTTACATTTTGAGGTGATTGAGCAGAGCATTTTATTACGAAATTATTTTAAATCCTAGACGTCCTAGAGAAAAACAAATGGCATGGCATTGAAATCAGCGGCCCAAAATTAGTTAAACAAAGCTGGAAAAAAGAGTTTGTAAAACTACCCGGACAACAATCGGGATTTCCTGGTGAAGTCATGATGAAATCAAAACGTGATTTTTTTTATCACGCTGTGATATCCTGAGTGCATACACATGCTTCATCACAGTGATATCATGTAGAACTCACGGTGTGATATTTGCAAAATTTGCGCATGCGTATGAGCCCTGCGAACTGCGAATTTAAAACCTAGTTTGTTATTCACATTACACCGTTATAATTTATAAAACGTTGTTTGAATATCACGAATGTTGTCCGGGTTCAATTAAAAAAGATATTCCAATGTTTAACAAAACGTGAACGAACGAACATCATGTCGTGATTTTCACAAATTTTATTCATACTGATATTATACGGAAGTCACCGCGTGATAAATGAAAATCATACGAACGTCACGTCGTGATTTTCACAAATTTTATTCATACGGACATAATCCGGATGTCACTGCGTGAGAAATGAAAATCATGTCGTGATTTTTTATGCCATCACTGTTTGCGATTGACCGATGGCCTAAAAAATCACGACATGATTTTTTATGCTATCGGTGTTTGGGCATAAAAAATCACGACATGATTTTTTATGCCATCGGTGCACCGACATGTTTGGATATTTATTTTTGCGCCACATTCGTACATTGAAAGAAAAAGTATGTTAACAATTGAATCAACAGTTTAACATTCAATATTTTCTTGGATTTAAATTAACTATATATATATATATATTATTCAAACACCGTTGGCATAAAAAATCACGACATGATTTTTTGTGCCATCGGTCAATCGCAAACAGCGATGGCATAAACAATCACGACATGATTTTCATTTCTCACGCAGTGACATCCGGATGATGTCCGTATGAATAAAATTTGTGAAAATCACGACGTGACGTTCGTATGATTTTTATTTATCACGCGGTGACTTCCGTATGATATCAGTATGAATAAAATTTGTGAAAATCACGACATGATGTTCGTATGAATATCACGAATGTTGTCCGGGTATCACACCCTAAAACTTTTTTATCGTGAATTCATTTTCTTAACAAGCAGAACTTATTTATAAAGAATGACTTTGGGTCGTAAAATAAATAATAAAGATTATTTTCCCGTTGGGGACCCCATCCGGGCCCACACTGTATAATCAGGCGTTAGAAACACAGACCACCAAAACAAATGGACGGATTTGTTTACGTTTAAAAAGCGAGTAAAGCATGGTTTTACATTCTAAACACCGTCGAAAGAAACACGGCTTCCAACGTTGTCAGAAGTATAGATTACACGCCATTTTGGACGTTCATCTTAACATAATGAACATTAAAAATTACCAGTAATTCGTTTGAATAATAAAAAAATTGTAAAAAGGATTTATTCCTATTTTCTTTAGATATTTTTCTCTATTTAAAGAAAGTAAATCATTTAATAGTTATTAAAATTAAATATTAACAACGTTGGTAAATTCGCCATATTTAACAGCATAGAAAAAGGTTGACAGCTTGTTGTTTTGTGTTTTCGTTTGTGTATTTCTACAAAATAACAATACATGGAAATATCGTTTGTAAGTACCTACCTACTTATTATTTTTTTAATCCCAATATTTGTTCATAATTATTTAAAAGATTCATAAACCAATTTGTTTCACTAAACCTAAACTTTGCTGATGATTATTATTTTAATAAAAACTTAATTAATTAAATTTAAAAAACGTATCGTAATCACAATTAAATTAAACTATTTTTAAATTATCCCTATTTAACACCACGGCACTGGTTGCAGTCAGCTGTCATATTTGTTATATGTCAGCTATTTTGGAGTACGCAATACGTCACTGGAAGAAAACATAAAATTCTATAGCCAATTTAACGCTTAGACTGTGACCGTTCGTTGACCGCAAACAAAGCATTGTTATTGAATTGCAATGCGCCGTCCATTTGTTTTGGTGGTCTGTGGTTAGAAATATACTATTAAAATCCTACTAATATACAGTAGGGTGGAGTGAATTTTTTTTTATTTATTAATTGATTTTTGAATGAATGAATAAAATGAATAAATATCGAAAAAATATTCCAATTTTTTTATATCTTGAGGTGGCGCATCAGTGTCGAAGTTTTGAAAATTCTAAAAATATATTTCAATCAAAGTAATAAAAATAGCATTATTTATAAATAAAAAGTTTATTTTAGTAAAATGAACTTGAAACGTAAACATATTTAATAGTAAATCATATGCTTTAAGTAACTTCAGGAGTGTTTATTGGTAGAAATGAGATCTTTTTCGCGAAAATACTGACATTGGTATAAAAATTTGGTAATTATTTTTTGACTTTAATTCTTGTTCTGATGAAACCATCTCTTGCTTCCGATCCACAAACCGAGATTCAGTATACTGGTTATAACCAGTTTTACACATCGTTCCACTGCTTGGGTGTGACACGGAAATATAGTAAATGGTCACCCGAAGAAATCATATCGGTAATTTCTGTTATCGTATTTCATAGTCATAGGTGGTTCAGTTACCTTTTCTGTCGCCCAGTGAATTAACTCGTAAAAATGTAATGCTTCATTACTTATTTGTGGAAGCTTTAATTCCCGTAATCTCGAACATTTTGATAGGTACTTTTTTCGCCTTTAATATTTTCGGCAATGCTAGTTCTCTGATCGATAGATATATAGTAGGTAACATAGCAAGTAATAGGTTTTCGGGATAAATATTTCGCTGAATATTCTTTATAACCATAGTTATAAGGCCTTTAAGTTTTTCTGAAGGTGTAATGCTCTTTTAGTCATATTAAATATGTGAATAGGACCATGTTTGCACGTAGGCTTGGTGTTGATGTAAAACCACGTTGGGGCATACACTTTCATGATAAAAGTAGCCAATTCTTTTAGGTTTTCCGATGGATTTGCTGTCCCCACATATAAACAAATAATCCTATTAGCACACGTCATCCATAGGGAATGTGCTAGCTTTCCTGGATCTTTGTTAGCTATAGCTAAGTGGGAATTGTACCTTTAATATTGTAACGTTTTTAACTGTTCGTAGTGTGAATTAAAACACGCACTGGTTAATTAACGAACTAAACTATTTATTTAATAACTTAACTACACTTAAAACACTATAAAACTAACTAAACACTTAACTACTAATTATTTATATCACTACTAGTTTATTTATTTGCACTTATATTTATTTATTTCTTCGCGACTACCAAAGCTCAACTGACTGTCCATGATGCGTCGTTCCTTATATATTCAGCGCCTACTTCTTCTGGAACATTCCAGCGAGCTTCACACTCTCGATTATTCGAGCGCTGAGTCACCGGCGATGACTCATCGGCGATGAGTCATCATTCCGAGATCCAGAGCCGTACTCGCTACAATATCTAAATTCAGCGAAATATTTATCCCGAAAACCTATTACTTGCTATGTTACCTACAATATATCTATCGATCAGAGAACTAGCATTGCCGAAAAAATTAAAGGCGAGAAAAGAATCAAAATGTTCGAGATTACGGGAATTAAAGCTTCCACAATTAAATAATGAATGAAGCATTACATTTTTACGAGTTAATTCACTGGGCGACAGAAAAGGTAACTGAACCACCTATGACTATGAAATACGATAACAGAAATTACCGATATGATTTCTTCGGGTGACCATTTCCGTGTCACACCCAAGCAGTGGAACGCTGTGTAAAACTGGTTATAACCAGTATACTGAATCTTCAGTATCGGTTTGTGGATCGGAAGCAAGAGATGGTTTCATCAGAACAAGAATTAAAGTCAGAAAATAATTACCAAATTTTTATACCAAATGTCAGTATTTTCGCGAAAAAGAAGATCTCATTTCTACCAATAAACACTCCTGAAGTTACTTAAAGCATAAGATTTACTATTAAATATGTTTACGTTTCACGTTAATTTTACTAAAATAAACTTTTTATTTATAAATAATGCTATTTTTGTTACTTTGATTGAAGTAATATTTTTTTAGAATTTTCAAAACTTCGAGACTGATACGCCACCTCAAGATATAAAAAAATCCACCCTAATATACAGTGTTTCTCACCTCCAACTGGTAACCTCGGACTGCCTGTCAAAAACTGCAAGAACAGCCTTTGCTCCTCCCTATTGTAGGCGCTCAAGATCTCGAAGAGGAACCTGATGGCCTTCGAGTCCTGATTGTAGCCGTGATCGGGCCGGCAGCACTCGATCAAAGTTTTCACGTCCCAACCGTACATCGAGTCCTTCGGGCTGCCGCAAAAAACAGACTCCAGCTCTTCCGGCTGGAACACCTTCAGGTTGTGCAGCGGAAACACCGACTCGAAGCCTTCGCGCAGCGACTCCATCTGGCGGGCCACGCCCTCCGTCAGCATCCAGTGCGCCGTCAGTTTCACGTACAGATGCAGGTTGTGGATCGTGACGTGCGTCGATTTGCCGTTCTTCATCAGCTCCACGTTGTAGCCGGGTATTACGAAGTCGATGCCCAGATCTTCAATTGAACAGCCGTCAAAGGTCACTTTTTCCAACTGAAAGCAAAATAGATTTTAGTAAGGTAACACTGGCCAAGATACATACTAGGGTAGTGATGTAAAATACCCAGGTATTTACCCGGGTATTTACCCAAATAGGGTATTTACCCGGGTATTTACCCAAATAGGGTATTTATAGGGGTATTTTGATTTAAATCTTGCATAAAAATAGCTTGAAATCAATAAATAGTTTTATTCAATATAGTGAAGTATACTGTAGTAGTACCTACCTTAGATCTTAGATAATATTATTTAAAACTTGTTTTTTTTTTAATTTTTCACAAAAATTTTGAGGTTATGTAAAAAAATTGTAATTACAAAAGTTGTAGATCCTTTTATTACCTACAACTTTGCCATTAAACTTTTTTCCATAGGACTTGTAGTTTTGCCGGAAATCGAGATAAACCATTTTTTACACTTAAAACCCCCCCTCCCACTTCCCGAAGTCAGATCGCCCGTAATTTATTTTTCCTTTCATTTTTATTATATTTTTCTCCTTTTCCAATGGGTTTCATCCTACTGTTATTTTTTTTGGTTTCAAAAATTATCGACCCTGGTCTATGTGTTAACAATTAAGCGGTTTTCCACAATTAAGTGCGTTCAGAGACAATTCTAGTACGTTTATGTTTATAAGGTTTAATAGGGAAGTTTAATATTATTTAAAGTATAAATTATAATGCATTTATCAAAAATACCCAGTTTTGGGTAGGTAAATAAAATTTGGGTATTTACCCAGGTATTTACCCAAATTTTATTTACCTACCCACTGGGTATTTACCCTATCTACATCACTATACTAGGGTGATTCATTTCCGCAAAGTTTTTGTTTTTTTTTTCGGTGCTCAAGCAAAATATTAATCTGCATATAGGAAAAAACATTCTCACCAAGTTTGAGCTCTTAATATTAATTTTAAGCACTTACTATTTAAAATTAAAGTTTTATCGTTTAAAATGCATGTAAAAAATATATATATTTTTTTCAAATTTCTAATACTTACCCACCTTTGACAATATTACAAATCGGTTTAATACACCTTATGGGGAATTTCACGCTCTTTAAAATTGCTTTTGAGTTTTTTTATAACTCGCATTGGTTCACCAGTAGGAGACGTCAAAGGACAGTTTTTGAAAAAAAATCGTTTTTTTTTTTATTTTTTCGAGCAAATCGCCAAAAGTAGCGAGAAAAAAGGGCTGATTCATAAAAAAAAAGTTATCCAACCAATATTTAATGAATTTACTGCCATTTTTATAACTGAAAACGTAAGAAATTGATAAATACCAACCCATAATGTTATTTAGATTGATTTTTTCTATTTATTATCATTATATTTCCCTACACTAAGAACTTTTTTAAAATTATTATGATTTCTCACTCATAATGAACACATAAATTCATAAAAAAAACAACAAAACTTTAATCGGAATATACAGAAGGTTATGTAACATATTTCAAATTTCGCTTCAAAAAATTAAATAATCTTCATTTATATTTTTTTGCTATATGACAGAAATGTTAAAAAATTGCAAAATCCACGTTACAATTTTCTTATTGTTTTTTATGAATTTATCTGTTGTTTTCATATTCATTATAAGTGAAAAATCAATAATTTTAAAAAAACTTCTTAGTGTAGGGAAATATAATGATAATAAATAGAAAAAATCAATCTAAATAACATTTTGAGTTGGTAATTATCAATTTCTTACGTTTTCAGTTATAAAAATGGCTGTAAATTCATTAAATATTGGTTGGATAACTTTTTTTTATGATTCAGCCCTTTTTTCTCCCTACTTTTTGCAGTTTGTTAGAAAAAATAAAAAAAAAACGATTTTTTTCAAAAACTGTCCTTTGACGACTCCTACTGGTGAACCAATGCGAGTTACAAAAAAAACTCAAAAGCAATTTTAAAGAGCGTGAAATTCCCCATAAGGTGTATTAAACCGATTTGCAATATTGCCAAAGGTGGGTAAGCATTAGAAATTTGAAAAAAAAATATATTTTTTACATGCATTTTAAACGGTAAAACTTTAAATTTAAATAGTAAGTACTTAAAATTTATATTAAGAGCTCAAACTTGTTGAGAATTTTTTTTTCTATATGCAGATTAATATTTTGCTTGAGCACCGAAGAAAACAAAAACTTTGCGGAAATGAATCACCCTAATACATACACCTTAAGATAGGATGGTGCGCATGTTGGGCGGGGCTTAAATACGTCACTTGTTGAGTATCTTTAAATCTTTAACGTGCGTTTTAATTATCTGCTGCTAAAATTCTTGTTTTTGCGATGCTGTTCGATGTTAACTTGCTCTATTTTTTTGTTCGGTAAGGTTTGAATTACTTTTCAGTGTTCAAATTATTGTTATTGCGTTGTGTTAACCTGTTCTGTTTGTTTATTATTCTTTTTGTGTTGAGTTAACTTGTTTTGTTTGTGTTTTAGTTTGTGTCGTGCCATTTGCATTTATTAAAATGCGGTGTAGCATATTTGGATGCAATTCGGACAACCAGTCCAAGAAAAACCCTTTAAATAAAAACATTAAATTTCATCAATTCCCGAAAAACTTTGATTTGTGCAAACAGTGCTTAAATGCCACAAAAATAATAGACAATATTAACGTTAAGACCGCTTCTGTTTCCTATAAACATTTTCTGGACATATCCAGACACTGCAGTGACTATAAGTTTAATTTAAAACATCAACGCTTAAACAACAGCCCTAAATGTTATCAAGGACTGAAAGCATCTATATTACATAGTTTACATTAAAGTGATCTTACTTGTTCAGTCTTCTCCTCTTCACTAAGGTCACCGTTCCTTAAAATTTCATCTCTTTCTCTAACAACGTCCTGCATTTTTCTCAAAGTGTTGTAAATATCTGGACTGACATGTGCCAAATCTGACAACGTTAAACAGTGCTCTTGTCCTAACAACCAGCGATAAAAGCTCAGGGAAAACGGAAGATCCAGCTGTAAAAAACAAAACAATATTTAGCAATTTTCAACAACAAAAAAATAGTATTCTACTAACCATTCTCGAGTCCATAACGGCCTTTGCCATGAACTTGCCCAAGAATCTGTACTTGCTCTTGATTTTGCTGACCTGGCTTACTTTTGCGGATCTGGGCAAAGGAGCCGGGAAAAGACCGGTGGGATTTAGCACGTAATCGCCGGCTGTGGAGTTGGGCGCGTACCACAATTCCAAATCGGATTTTTGCAGTTCTTGCGAAACTAGCGCGTAGAACTCCAATGTGGGGCCCAAGCCGGTACCGACTTCGTTTTCGTATTGCACTTCCAGCAGCGCCTTGGAAGACGCTAAATCTTGCATAACCTAAATTATACGATTAAAATATGTCCTTTAGTATATTGGTTAATTGATAAAAGTACAAGTTCTACTTATTTCTTGATCAAAAATATCCATACTGAATAAAAAAAACTTATAAATGTGAAGATTTTTTTAATACAAAATTAATTAAGAGTTGGTTGAAGAAATTTGAGTGCAAGAGGCTGTTATTCATAAACATTCAGCTGCGCCGCATTTATCAAAATCTACTGTTTAGAAAATCTTAAAAAGGATGTCCCGCTGAAAGTTTCCTTTATTAAAGTGAAATAAATTAACAGTCGATTTTTATCAATGCAGCGCAGCTGAAAGTTTAAGAATAGAACAGCACGATAAATGTGTAGTGATGAGCCGAGAAAAATCTCCTTGCGGCGGAATTTAACAAGAAATATTAATAAAACATATTTCCCGAAAACCGTTTCAGAAATAATAATGATAATAAACCATTTTCAGGGGCTCTGCATGACCCTTAGAGGCCATTTGCCGACCTATGTCCATTAGGGTATCCGTTATTTACCAATTTGTTTTTTGACGCAGCGCCCCCTAAATTTTAAGTTTATGAGCTAAAAAAATTAAAAAAAAAATATTTTCATTTAAATAACATGGGGTTTCGGCAAGTTTTACATTTAATTATTTTTCTCTCGAGCAAATTAATATACAGACTCATATTTTTATATGAAACTATGATTTTTTTTTATAAATTCACTGATATAAAAGTTATTTAAGGTTAAAGATAAACTTTAAAATATTGAAAACAGATAAGTAAAAATTATTGACAAGAGATTCCGATAAATTCAATTTTTTTTATTACATTAATCCGGTACTAGTTTTACTCAACTTTAACAGTTGTCTAATAAATTTAAAGGTAGGTAAATATACCTTATAAAAAGAATATACTAGCCTTAATGTACATTAAAATGTATAGTTTTAAAAAAGAAGGTCCTTTTAGTTCTGGTTTTAATAATTTATTGTTTGTCTTTTCTTTTTTTCTGGTATTATTATTAAATAAAAACATAAAAGTAGAACATTATTCACATACCGAACGTTATATTTCCGTTTTACAATCTTATTAAAAGAATATTAAAAGATTTGAAAATATAGTATCTTAAAATAACGTTAGGCGTCAAAAACAGATGTTTAGTGACAGATTAGTTAAAATTATTTTAAATTTCTCCGTCAGACGTACGAAGTTAAAACTTGACGGACGGAAAAAATAATCATAATTTTTGAATTATAATTGGACTAATTAGAACGCTCCCGGATGAACGGACTAACGGACAAACGGATACATGAAAATTAAGCTTAATTTATTTGTTGTGTTCGTCGTAGATAAAGTATACCGTAGAGTGGGGTTATTTGGAACTGTGGGGTATCTTGAAACATGTTAATTTTGTGACATTTTCTTTAATACAATAAACATTTTTTGACTAAGACTGTTATTTTATTTTGTTTTCGTACTAGAAGCAGGGTTTTATTTTATTTTTAATTTAAAAGACTTCTAAGATGCTCTTCTTCTGCAGTTATTTTAAATTTAAATGCGTTCCAAAATCCCTATGCATTTATTTTTAATTTAAAAGCGTTCCTAGTTGCCCTTCTGCAGTAAAACATAGAAACATGATAAAAATTTACATCTGTTCCAAGTTATCAGAACGAAGCAAAACTTTTTTTTTAATTCGATAGCTTTCGTGAATTTTAAATTTGCGGTATATATATGTATCAATTTAAAAGGTACTCGTACACACTTTGTCATTTAAGTATCGAAAAAAATACTTTTTGTTGTTTATTTATGTAACTTTTTTTATTAAAAGTGTTCCAAGTAACCCCAATCTACGGTACTTAGTATGCAACTCGTTTTATAAACTTATCTAGACACTCGTTTTTAATAAGCTTCGCTCGTACCTAGTAAAACTCGTAACTAAAATGGCGTTTATAAAACGATACATAATACCTATATTATTATATAAAAGATGCCACAGACGATGGGTGATTGACCTACTTCAAACTTCAACTTTGCGACACGAAATCTGTGAAGTGCGACTTATGCCTTCTGTGGTCAAAGTACTAAATCATACTTTAGTGCGCATGCGTAACTACAAATTTTATTTTTCGTAAAAATAATTGTTAAAAGAATTTTTACGTCATTAGCTGTACTGAAGGAAACCTTTTTATTGTATAATATTTTATAAAATTTTGTAAAATTTAACAGAAATAAAAAGATTATGTAAAAAAAGTAATTGTACTAAATTTGAGTAAAACTAGTACCAGATTCTTTTAATGTATTAAAATTTTTTAATTTATCGGATTCTATTGTCAATAATTTTCACTTATCTCTTTTTAATATTTTTTACTTTTTCAATGATACAATAAAATCACATATTTTCAAAAATTAACAATTTATTTTCATAAAAATAATGATAATTTTGCATCAAAGTAAAAAAATCGAAAAAATTACTATAAGTTCAATTTTAACCTTAAATAACTTTTAAACCAGTGAATTTATCGAAAAATCACAAGAGAGATTTGTTGTACAGCGTTCAATTTCCTATAAAAATATGTATCACTTATTGCTGTATATATATGTTATTTAAATGGAAAATGTATCATCTTTGTGGCACGGTTTAATAGGACTATTATTGTTTATAATTTTTGTAGGTCATAAACTAAAAATTTAGGGGGCGCTGCGAACAAAAAAAACAAGTTGGTAAATAACAGACACCCTAATGTTCATATAAAGTTTTCTTACAATTTTGTCCCTAAAAACCGCTTGTACTGCACATTTTTTTCGGTACACCCCGTATAGTTTAAAACAAAAAATGTTAAAATATTAAGTCATGTTGCTTGCGATACTTTGGCAGAAAGTCATCGATATTAAAGACTATTTCCCTCGTCTTAATTTCCACCAAACGCGCAATTTTGAATTACAAATGGTTTCTAGGTGGTGACAGCACCTGTCAGCAGTTTTTTCGAGTTTACCCGCGGCAAAACTTGACAGCTGTCACCAAAAATTGAAATGAAATTGAATGAAATAGTCTTGTCAAACACCATTCAGGCATCTAATTTTTCCTGTGAAAAAAATCGAAAAAACACAATGCTAAGTAATATTTTTTAACAAAATGCATTCGTGCAGGTGCAAAAATCCTCCTCTTCGACTCGGTTTTTTGTTGCCACCAGCATGCATGCTTCCTGTTAAAATATTACTTAGCAACGTGTTTTTTCGATTTTTTTTCGGAAAAATTAGATGCCCTTATAATATTACTTACGGATAATTAAAAGCGTTTCTGCAACTAAAAAAAAGTTGTTTTTGTAAACTCACCTGTTCAGCTTGTTTGAGAATATCTTCGCGCGATATAGTACGTTTCCTTCTGTCCAACCTCGGAGTGACCCGTTCCTGCGAATCCGAAGAACTAAGTTCCGGCGACATGTCCAGCAATCTCTGCAAAGCGCGATCCCTGTCGAACGAGGTGGCGTAAAACAGCAACTGTCTCGTGTCGAACGGAAACAAGAACGGACACGCGGAGGCGATCTGTTGCAACCAGTTGGGCAAATTGCCCGTCATAATGACCAAAGGATCCTGCAACTGCCTGCTGGCTTTGGCGGCTATTTTGCCGTTTAAAAATTCAGATGCCGGCAAAATGGGCCGCTGCTCTACGGCGGGGTAGAGGGCGTTCCAGTGAAGGTTTAAGGCGTTCAAGATGCGCAGTAGGCATAGTACGTCGGTTGAAGCGTCTTGGATCGTTACAAAGTCGGGAAGCGATGTGCACAAATACGGAGTTAATGGCGATTGAACCACTGGAGTAACGCCTTCTAAAATTTTGAAATAAAGTTTGTTAAGGCTACTTTTTTTTCTTCTAAATAGAGGTCATAGATTTGTTTAAACATTTTATAAAAACTTTTTGTATTTAAAAATATTCCTATTATTTCTACACTCACCAGCAAAAGATATTGGCCATAATTTTAATTTTGTAGGTTGACTCTTTAGTTATGATGCTATGGTGGAAATTTTTATTTTGATTTAAATTTCAGAATTTACAGGGTGCAAAAAGTAAGAAAAGAAATTTGTGACCCCCTGTGAGGTTCATCAGTATTAAAAGCACAATTTTTTATTTTTTTCTTCACATTATTATCTCTGTTATTAACAAACATAGACTGTTTTAAAGCGTTGGCCTTGGATAAACTGTTCGTATTAGAGACGTTGACTTAGACTATCTTCAATAATTGATTAATTATTAATACAATGCGAGAAATATCCGTCACTAAAGCAGAGCTGGAAAAGTTACTTCTGAAAAGTATCTAGTTACTTTTCTAAGATTTTAAACAAAATAAGTTACCTCTGGTTGAGTTAAGAGTATCTTTAGTTACAAGATACTTTAAAAAGTATCTAAGATACTATCCGAAAGTATCTAAGATACTATCCGAAAGTATCTAGATACTATCCGAAAGTATCTAAGATACTTTTAAGTAACTAAGATACTTCTGAGTAACTAAATTACTTTTAAGTTTAAATAAAAACTATTAAATTATAAAAATTCAACAAGTTGTAGTTTAGATAATTACTTTGAATCATTCTGGAATTCCCCCAATTTTCTCTAAGACAGTATCTAAGTTACACTGAAAAGTATCTAAGTTACTTTAAAGTATCTAAGTTACTTGAATGTATCTTAGTTACTTTACTAAGTAACTTGGATAATTTTTTAGATACAAGTTACAAGATACTTTCTGTCCAATATAAAAAGTATCCAAGATAAGTCTCTTAGATACTTTAAGTATCTAAGTTACTTTCAAGTATCTTTTTTTTAAGATACTCCCAGCTCTGACTCTACAGTAACATTTCTCAAATATCCTCAAACTAACCTAAAATTACTATTTCTAGGTCAAGGAAAGCTCCCAAGATTTAGCTACAAATTAATGAGGTGGCAAACAAAACATCGTTTTGGGGCCAATACGCTACATTTTGCAACGCAAACCCAATAAAAAAAAGAAATACAGAAACGGCGTAAGTTGCTCAATTTTGGTAATTGTTTACATTGTTATACTGCACTCGACTGCACTATTGGCCATTTTTTGTTAATATTTTGATTATTTATTAAATTATTTTGCCTTAAATCTATTTTGGATGTTCAGTATATTTTTGACGTTTTTTGTCAAAAATATACAGGGACTCCATACAAAGTCAAATAGAAATTATGTTTGTTCCATTGTAGCCATATTCTATAGTAGTATTTTATAAGGGATATTTAATAAAGCACTTTTCTGCAGAGAAGTGCTTTATTAAATACCAAAACTAAAATTATAATGTTTTTTTGGTAAAAATTATCATTTTTTAAAATTTTTGCGTCGTCTTTTTAATTACTAATTAAATTAAAAAGGCAACAAAGTAAATGGGTTTCGGTATAAACATAACTCTTTGACTATTATTTGATATTTTTACCCAAAAATTTAATTTCCAATCATATTCAGTCTTATAAAAATTTAATATAGAATTGAAGTATAAAGGCACCTTTATCTACTTTATCATTTAAGCACATTCTATTCTATTAATTTTTGACATTTAAAATTTAAACTTTAAATTGTAATTAAACCCTAGGAATTAAACTTAAAAGTGATTTTAAGAGAAGGAGACGAATATTTACGTCGTCGTTGTAAATTTGTTTTGTTTTTGTTGCAGTACCTTTACGCCCAAGAAAAACCAACGCAATATTTCATTACACAATTTTATGAGATATACCTACTACTTTAATTTTGCAGGAATATTAATTGGAACTGATATACGACGTTTAATAAAAGATCAAGCATTCAAAAATGCTCTCAAAGTTGACGAGCTTGTCGCATATGGCAGTGTTAAAGCTGTAATTGAAAATGTTCTTGGTTCATATTGGGCCTAAAATTGGCTCCAATTCATTGAAAAAATGCTCTCCGTTTTGTTTTTTTTTTATCCTGATAAATTTGCCGAACTGATTTACATGGAGAACGATTTCATCAAGTAACTGGAAAAATAGAGCATTGGTAGATATCTATGGGTATAGCGGAAAGAAGTTGGATTCATTGCTAGGGGACATTTGCTGGAATTTGCAGCAAAAGATACAATATTACTATAATCCCATTCGATATTTGATACCATTTAATAAATTTAAGGTAGAAAAAAGCAAAATTATGCAATGCAATATATTTTGAGGGCTTAATTTGGATAACAAATACTGAAACTTGTTTACTTTGTTGCTCTTTCAATTTAATAATTAAAATAAACGACAAAAAATGTCAAATAATGGTTGCTTTTGTTAATATTGTTAAGATAAATATGATCTACTTGCTGTATACCAATTAGTTTAGTACATTCAAGATAAATTTAAGGCAAAATAATTTAATAAATAATCAAAATATTTACAAAAAACTTACATTTTGAGATAATTGGGCAGAGCATTTTATTACGAAATTATTTTAAATCCTAGACGTCATAGAGAAAAACTAATGACATGTTTTAAATCAGCGGCCCAAAATTAGGTAAAATAAGCTGGAGTACTAATTAAGTTTGTAAAACTATCATAGTGTTATGATTATGCAAATGTTGTAAGAACACGGTATTTCTTTAATTTAAATTATTTATTTTAAAAATAAACTTACCATTCCATAGTTCGTCTCCTTTTCTTTTGCTGGTACTCTTGCTTGAAGACCCTTTGCCTTTCCTGCTCGAGTGTCCAGAAGTATTTCCCGCTTTCTGAGAAGAACTAGCCGGTTCCTCTTTCAATGGCCTGTAGTGAATAACGTGGGTCTGGACCCAAATGCCGGTGTTACCGACCGGGGTCTCGTTATCGGTGTCCGTCTCGCTCTGATCGTTTCCGTTGTTGCTGAACTGCCTCACCGCTTGGTACACCGTCATGTTGTACGGCAACACGTTGTTGCCGATGAGAAATTGCAGCTTGTGCTTGGCTCCGGATTGCGACATCGCGCAACCCTGCAAAGTGTCGTCGATGTCGTCGTCGGAGTCGCCCTCGTCGCTGTCTGCGCAGTCCTTGTCGCGCAGACGACCGTAACCGCGAACCACTAGGTAACGCTCGATGGCTTGCACCAAGGCCAACGGGTCGATTTTAACCGTGCCCCCTTTCCACTGTTTCAAATTCGAACAGTCAGGGTGACGTTGCAAATTGCACTGGAAGAAAATAAAACATTTAAAATATAACACAGTAGTAACATCAAAAACACACAAAAAATCGCCGGTACACGTAAACTTAATTATTGGGCGTAATCAGTTTTTTAAAGTTAGCTCGTTTTCTTAAGATATTTCATATTTAAGTTTTTATAAGTTTTTGGTTTATTATTTGTGTATATTTTGAGAAATATAAAAAAGACACACAAAAAAACGCCGGGACATGTAAACCTAATTTTTGGGTGTAGAATTCAGTGGTGTAATCCGTTTTTTAAAATTAGGTCGTTTTCTCAAGATATTTGAAATTTTGTGTTTAAATATTTTTTAATTAATTTGCTATATATCAGCCATTCCACGTTACTCGGAAATTTTTGTAGCGTCCGTTACAATCGAAAATTGTGAGTAAAACTACCGTAATTATGATACTTATAAGCTTAAGCCTAATTATTACAAGCATAATAAACATGTTTGCAATAGTAACTTTTGTAATGGTATTTAATTTAATTTCGGTAGCTTTTACTCACAATTTTTGATTGTAACGGACGCTACTAAAGTTCCCGAGTAGCGTGGAATGCCAAGGTGTCCCTAAACTTATTGGCATAAATTTAGCAAAAGATTGAGCAAGTCAAAATAAGATGAAAACCTAAATAAATATTTTTCCTAATTACTTATGTTTCCAATATACAGGGTGATAAAGTGTTACCTATCATATCAGTTTTTTTAATATAATATATTTATTTAGATTTTCGTCTTATTTTGACTTGCTTAATCTGCTCCTATATTTATGCCACTAAGTTTAGGGACACCTTGTATATATATATATATATTAGGGTGTCCCAAAAAAAAGAATATTTTTTTTCTTCTCGTCTCTTGTGAAAATATGTTGGTTTGTCATGTTTTAAGAGCCCTGTCAAAAGATCAGCACCATTAAAAAAATTTTAGGGGTCGCTCAAGATTTTTAAAAATTACCAAAATCGTAAAAAATTGAATTTTTTTTTATTTTAATTTTTTTTTCTCTTTCCGATATTATTTTTTAATTTAAAAATAATAATGATTCTGAAAATTTCAAATCGATATTTTAATTTCTAAAGGTCGCTCAAGATTTTTTTAACTTTCAAAGTAGAGTATTTTGAATGTTTTCGAGCGACCTCTGAATATAAATATCAACGAACTTTTAGCGACCTTTAGAAATCAAAATATTGATTTGAAATTTACAGAATTTTTATTATTTTCAACCTAAAAAATAATATCGAGACGAGAAAAAGAATTAAAATAAAACAAAAATTCAATTTTTGACCATTTTGAAAATTTTTAAAAATCTTGAGCGACCCCTACAAAATTTTTAATCGAGCTGATATTTTGAAAGGGCTCTCACAGCATGATAAACTAACATATTTTTACAAGAGACAAGAAAAAAAAATATATTCTTTTTTTTTGGGACACCCTAATATATATTTTAAGACACCATAATCCCTCTTAAAATATCTTTATTTATTTTAATTATTTATAATTAACATTTTTGGCCAATTCCAATTTTAAAATCTATTAAAATTTATTTATTACTAAAAAATTATTATTTATCGTAAGTAATATCATAAGGGCATTTAATTTTTCCGAAAAGAATCGAAAAAACACGTTGCTAAGTAATATTTTAACAAAAAGCATGAGTGCTGGTGGCAACAAAAATCCGAGTCGAAGAGGAGGATTTTTGCACCTGCACGAATGCATTTTGTTAAAAAATATTACTTAGCATTGTTTTTTCGATTTTTTTCACAGGAAAAATTAGATGCCCGAATGGTATTTGACAAGACTATTTCATGAGTAACAGTTAACAATTAAAATATAAATCATGCTATGCTCACTCCCACCTTCCTTTTCAGACCTTAAAATTAGTTGCGGATAGGATCGACTATAGCGCTGAAGCAGCAGAATAACACGCTTTTTTAGGTGGCATCTTTGTCAATTTGACAATTTGTCAATTTTTCGTTTAAACTTTAGAGACCCCATTATTGTTGTGTTCATAGATGACCGAAGGTTTCGTTCCAGCTTTGTTCTAGACAAACAAGTTTTCCTTTTGTGCGATTTTGTTAGTTTGACTTTTTTACAATGGTGTTTAAATGTGCTGTTGGTAATTGTAGAAATACAAGTAACGAGGCAGTATTACACTCGTTTCCTAAGGATCCTGACGTAAGTTAGTTAACTTTAGAAATAACCAATACAATATATAAAAAATGCCTTATAAATAGGTAAAAAATGAGTCCAAGGAGGCTATTAAAAATTTAAAAAAGATTGTAATTTTTTTTGGTTTAGACATTAATGCTTATTTGCTTTGTTTTGTAATTGTAAACTTTATTTTTATATTATTATATTTGCTTTGTTTTATACTTGTAAACTTTATTTTTATATACTTCATTAAAAAAATATCTAAAATCATAATTTGTTTGTTTTATTACATTTTCCTAATTCAAGGATTTTTCAAACTCATTATTAATTAATACAGTTATTGTATATCGCCTCCTGTAATCTACAATGTTACATTTAGTGATTAATATGAGAACTTTTAAATTGCCTTAAATTTTGTAATTGTAAACTGTGAGAAGTTTGTTTAAAATACAAATCTGATTAGTATGAAACTTACCAATAAGTATTTCTATTGGATTTGATAGAATTCATTATAAAATGCAAACATCTTAAGAGAAAACCAACATAAGCATGAAAACTTTAAGCCTTGGTAATATTAGGTATATTAAATTTTGTTTTCTTTTAAAATGGGTGAATTTTATAATAAAGCTTACCAAATCTTATTGGACATCTGAAAATACAACATATTTAAATATGTTTGTTTAAAATTTCCAGACAATGGTTTTAATATTAATTTTTTTTTATAAGGACTCATTGTCTCACAATATAATAATTAATTTCTGAAAGTCTTTAATAAAAATTAACCGATTTAAATATATTTGTTAGTAAGTTTCATTCGAGCCAGATTTGTATTTAAAACAAAATTTTTACGGTTTACAATTTTAAAATTCAAGGAGATTTAAGTTAGTACAAATATCACACACTAGATGTCGCACTGTAGATTCCAGGCGGTTTAAACTGTTAGTAAAGCCCTTGGGCAATAGATGTCGCTATCTAGAATGGATCTGCTTGCAGCGCCACGGGCGGTGATATCCGCTGTTAAATTAACTTTGTTTTGATTTTCTAACGAGAGTCGGCTATCTATACCTTCGGTCATCTATGATATAAATTGCAATTTTTGGTGACATCAGCTGTCACACAGTTTTTTCACATAGAAACCATCTATGCTAGAAACCATTTGTAATTCAAAATTGCGCGTTTGTGATTGGTGGATAATATCCACTGGATATTAAGACGAGGGAAATAGTCAATAATAAACTTTTTTTGTCAGTTCCTAGTATAAAATATTAAAATTAATTTAAATATAAAAAAATAAAAAAACTACTTAAATTACAAGTTGAAAAGAATGTAAAAAATGTTTAATTTTATGCCTCTTTGAAGATTGACCAACAAAAATCAGCAAGCATCGAGTCGAATTTTTTGCCAGAAAACCGATCTTCAAATGACATAATGGTTTGATGAAATCGTTCACAAGCTTCATCGGATTCGGTAACCGAATTTCGGTTGAAAGTTGTTTTTCATAAAAATCAAAATAAGCATGCAAAATTTTTAGCTACATATTTATACTTACTTAACCACAAAAACTTTGTAGCAAAGAATTCTTTCAATTGTAAAAACTAAATACAACATTTATACAGGCTGTACTAGTCTATTCAATAAAATAACATTTTTATTATAAATAATAGCATAGTAAATGAAATTCTCAAATTTTATTAAATTCGATTATTTCCCACTAATACCAGACAATAAAATCTACCAAAACAAATTTAATATAAAATTAAAAAAATATTAATAATATCGGCTTAAACACGAAAGTTATTAATTTAAAAGACAATGAATTAAAAATAAATACAGTCAATTTAAAACGGGTTATGCTATCTTTTTCTTTAAAAATATATCAAAATGGTGAAACAAAAAACTTAAATATTTAATATCTTGAGAAAATGAGCTAACTTTAAAAAACGGATTGCACCACTAAATTCTACACACAAAAATTCAGTTTTATATGTCCCGACGTTTTTTGTGTTTTTGGTAGGTACCTATTTCTAAAAATATAAACAAAAAATAAACCAAAAAAGTTACAAACTAAAATATTAAATATCTTAAGAAAAGGAGCTAACTTTAAAAACTGATTAAACCACTGAATTCAACACCCAAAAATTAGATTTTTATGTGTCTTTTCAAAAGTTTGAAATTTACCTACAGTGTAATTACACAATAAAAAAAATATTGACTCACCTTAAGTTGATGTGTGTTAAAGAACTTGAGGGCGCTGGTGCCGCCCCTTCCGGCTCCCGAACTGGCAGGCAGATCGTGCACCTTGACGGGAAACTGTTCAAGTTGCGACACGCAGCCGTTCAGTTTGGCGATAAGAGCGCCCATCCATTCGCTGTTAAGCGGCCCGACGCGGGTTACGTTCGACTCGAGCGGGCAGTCGGCAAACACGTTTAGAAGTATTCTCAGCCTTTGGTCTCTATCGAAAGGCCCGCTAGACAAACAAAATATTACCATATAAAAATTTGAAATGCATTTTTTTAAATTTTAAAAATTGAATATCAAGGCCATTAAATCAGAATAAATGAATAGTAGTTCTGATCAATACGAAAACCAGAATATAAACTATTCAATTTATGCTCTTTTTTTCACGTAAGTGAGGTTTTGTAGTACTTACAATTAAAGAAGAGCTTAAAATGAATATTCTAATAAGAAAACTGCAGGGAAATGAGAAAAAAATATCCAGTTTTATACAAAGAACAAAAATGAAAGGAAAGAGATATTTCGAAACGCGCGCGTCTGGTGGACTTCGGTAGCATTGTGTGAATTTAAGAATTCTCAACAATACATTTAAAGCAGAGATTATACATCATTTTTAAATAAATAGGAAGTTTTTTCACAAAAGAGGGGAAGGCAGAAGTCTTACTCGACAAATTTTGTTCAATTGCACAGCTAAATCGCTCACGTTATTTGTGTTTTACGTTGCAAGGAAACATTTTTTTAGTACTCGATTTCGATTGATTATTCCTTATACCTATCATTGATTAAGAAACTCAACGCTTAAATGCTTATACAGTTACGTTAGTGTATGTATTTTATCTAAGGGATCCTGGTGAATTATTGTGGTTTTAATTGTAAATAAAATTCAAGAACTAAATCGTTGCATTTTCATGTTTTGCCAAAGGATCCAATTCGGTAAGTAAATTTGGTGGTGCAGAATTAACTAATGATAACTTTACCTAATATAATTTATATTTAAGTTTGGACATTTTAAAGAAATTAGTAAAAAATAATTTTTGCACAAACATAACCTTAAAATCAACCATTTTTATATTTGAGTTCTCTAAAAAACGCCGACAACTCCATTTTAAACAAAAAATATACCTAAGAATTCATGGCAACATAATATTATATATAATACATAATATAATGGTATTTTACCGTTGAGTGGAGACTTTCTTAATCAACGCTTTTAATAATGCCAAATGCTGTTTAAATTTAGACGACTTATTTGTTTGACGATTTTTACTGAATTGAAATGTTTACACTTTTTACGTTAATCACTACTAAAATGTGTATTTATTGTATCTAATAGGTACAATTTATATTTACAGAGACTTGCTGTTTAAATTTAGACGACTTATTTTTTTGACGATTTTTACTGAATTGAAATGTTTACACTTTTCACGTTAATCACTACTAAAATGTGTATTTATTGTATCTAATAGGTACAATTTATATTTACAGGGACTGTATGTAATTTATTTTTTCATTCAGATTAACACTGTTTATTGGAAAACCGGTAAAAACTCAACCCAGGATTTCCTCTCGAAATACACCCAACAACACAATAAATCGAGCCACGGTTTTTTTTCGACATTTTCCGGCTTTATTCTCAAAAACACCTGTTTGTAAAATAATCGTTTGACAGCTGATTAATAAAAGTGCTCCTTTTGTTGCGATGCCAGCCGAGTGGTGGCGCTACTAGCGATACTTCTTTAGCCTACAGTTATCAGTTACCCTAATGGTCTAAGCTTGAAAAAATTGTAAGGAAATATCTGCAAAAACTTAAATTCGATATTAACGGAGGGGAGATAATTTAACAGGAGTGAGGTCTAGAAATTATTATAGAAACACGCCAGTTAAGGAATGATTTTAATATAAACTTACCTCAGAAATAAAACGTGTTTTTAAAAATTGTAAACCCTAATAACTAAGCTATGGTTTAACGGATTTTAAAAACAAAAAAGTGTTAAATAGAGAATTTAAATAGCTTTCAAATGAGGTATCACAAGCAGCCCCCCTTTCCATTTGAAATTTTCAAGTTGATACTACTTGGCACTTGTTAGGCAAAAAGTAGTAAACACAATATAGTTTACCCTGGTTTTCGTCCGACATCGATATCTTATTTGGTTCAAAAGTTAACAGGGGGGGGGGGGATTTTAACGCGCTCACTGTATATTCACCCTAATCTACATAATAATAAAAACAATACTTACTTGACATCGGCCATAAAAGAAAGCAAAGCTTTAATAAGTCCAGAGTAGTTGACTTCGAAAGGCGATATATCGGAACCGATTAAAATTTCGCGCAGCTCGCACAAGGCTTCCGCGCACTTTCCAGTCGGCAGCTTCTCGATGGAGACCTTCAGCCTGGCGATGACGCTCGTGGCCGGATTGTGCTCGTCTTCGGCGGACGAGTACGTTTCGATGAACTTGGAAGCCTGCTCGCGCACCCACGTGCGCGTCTTCTCTCTGTTGCCGGCGGTCAAATGCGAGTTCGATGCGGACTTCGACAGACTGTTCATCGAGTCCTTGCTGTAGTTGCGATCGTGCGACGAGTTCATGCTTCTACCCCAGCGGGCTGGGTTTAGGTTTTGAAGGAAGCTAGTTTTCGAGCTCGAGCCCGAATAACGCGGCCTTGATGTGTTGCTACAAAAAAATATTAAGTTCAGTTTTTTTACTTAATATGAGCAGAGCTGGGAGTATATTGAAAAAAAAGATACTTAAAAGTAACCTAGATACTTAAAGTACCGTAAACTCGGGTGGCTTTAGCTCACTTTCAAACTTTGCTTAAAATTTTTGTGGTTTTAACAATCATCAATTGCATACCAAAATTTGAGTCTCGAGTTGCTCTTTCATAATAACTATGATATAATCTTACATAGGGCTGAGTTTCAAAAATAAAAATTAAAAACTGGGTGTGCAAAGTTACCCCCTGGTTGCGGGTGTATTTTCCGTATAAAATTAACTCAATATTTTATTTTATTTTTATTAGACATATGTTAGCAGCGACATATAGCAATTGCAAGGGATTGATAAAAATAATAAAAAATAGACCTGTAGTTAACCAAGGATCATCATTCCAAAGAATTGCGCATAATATAGAAATTGAAACGCGTGTATTTTTAAGAGTTTTGCACTAATGCAATATATACAACTTTAAAGTGTAATAAATCCCATTTATTTTTTTAAAACACTGATTTTCCTGTAATATAAACTCAATAGAATCGCTCAATTGACAGGTTTAGACCAACATATTATAAATGTTAATTTTATCGAGCGCGAAAATTTTTTTTCTACGACCACTATGTAAAAGTCACTTTTTATTGGCAAGGCAAAACACGAATGTAAAGTGACATTTCTGTGTGAAAAGTGACAGGTCTGTGTGAAAAGAAATTGACAGCATCGTTTGACATTCAGCTGTCAAAAAAGTTTTTAGGTTATTTTGTTTTGCATTTAAAAATAATAAAAAATAAAAGGGTCGCAGAAAAAACATTGTGTTATACTTATGAGAAAAGCTTTCTTCAAGGTCGTGTTAATGCACACTCGGCCTAACGGCCTCGTGGGCAACTTAAAAACTCGCATGAAAAAGTCGCTTTTCAACACTTGTAAAATAAATAACTATTCATAAAAGGGAGATACATTCAAGTAACTAGGATACTTTTTAAAGTAACTTAGATACTTTTCAGTGTAACTTAGATACTTTATTAGAAAAAATTGGAAGAATTCCAGAATGATTCAAAGTAATTACCTGCAATTACTGCAACAACACAACAAGTGATAAAAATCTAGTCAAATATGGAGTCCCACAGGGCTCAGTCTTAGGTCCACTACTGTTCTTAATATATATAAATGACATTAAAAACTGTGATATTAGTGGTAATATAGTGTTATATGCAGACGATACTGTTATTTTCTATGATGGGGAAATAGACACAATCTTCAGCAAAGCTCAAAATGATCTCGAAAAAATCAATAAGTGGACAAAAAACAATAAAATCAAGCTAAATGAAAGTAAGTGTGTATATATGACATTTGTGATAACCTGTACCAATAAAAAATCTGTGATAAAAATATTAGGTAAGTAGACCAGTTTTGCTATTTAGGACTTACAATAGACAATAAACTCAACTTTGAAAAACATATTGATAATATTAGAAAAAAGATTAACAACATAAGCTACTACTTAAAACGAAATGCACAATATTTTAACAAACAAACAAGATATACCATATACTATGCTTATATCCACTCCATCTTAAATTATCTATGCGCATTCTGGGGTCAATCTCGAAAAACTGATATTAAAAGAATACAAACAACTCAAAATCGTGTAATAAAAGTTCTGTTCTGCAAGCATCATAGGACACATACAAAAGACCTTTATAATGAACTTAACTTACTAACAATAAATGAGATGATAAAACTTGACAGTGTTAAACTTATCTACAAAATAAAAAACAATTTAATTGAATCCAGTATAAACCTGAAAAATAACTGTGATATTCATAATTATCCTACAAGAAATCGATATGATATATTTATACTTCCTAATACATGTAATACTGGTAGAAAAAGTCTAACTAGAAATGCAGCTCAACTATACAATGAACTTCCAAATGAAATTAAGAACCAAACAAATATCAATGCTTTCCAGCGGGCTGTAAAAAATCTAATAATTGAAGAAAGAAACTACAATACAGAGTATTAAGTGAATTATATATTGTATAAACTTGTTACAATCACTACATTTTTTATATTGTATTTTACTTGTTATGGACCCTTGTTTTTTTTTGGGTAAATAAATAAAAAAAAAAAAACTTAAAAGTAACTTAGTTACTCAAAAGTATCTTAGATACTTAAAAGTATCTTAGTTACTCAAAAGTATCTTAGATACTTTCGGATAGTATTATAGATACTTTTTAAAGTATCTTTTAACTAAATGATGAAGATTGATATGGTAATACCCACAGACCACCAAAACAAATGGTCGGCGCATTGCCATTCAATAACAATGCTTTGTTTGCGGTCAACAAACGGTCACAGTCTAAGCGTCAAATTGGACATAGAATTTTATGTTTTCTTCCAGTGATGTCAACAAACGGTCACAGTCTAAGCGTTAAATTGGCGATAGAATTTTATGTTTTCTTCCAGTGACGTATTGGGATTAAAAAAATAATAAGTAGGTAGGTACTTACAAACGATATTTCCATGTATTGTTATTTTTACTAAAAAATAATGTATTTAAACTCCATAATTAACTTAAACACGATATAAATACACAAACGAAAACACAAAACAACAAGCTGTCAACCTTTTTCTATGCTGTCAAATATGACGAATTTACCAACGTTGTTAATATTTAATTTTAATAATTATTAAATGATTTACTTTCTTTAAATAGAGAAAAATATCTAAAGAAAATGATACAAAAATCCTTTTTACAATTTTTTTATTATTCAAACGAATTACTGGTAATTATTAATGTTCATTATGTTATGATGAACGTCCAAAAAGGCATGTAATTCTGACAACGTTGGAAGCCGTGTTTCTTTCGACGGTGTTTAGAATGTGAAACTATGCTTTACTCGTTTTTTAAACGTAAACAAATCCGTCCATTTGTTTTGTTGGTCTGTGGTAATACCCTACCAAAATTTATGAGATCAAAGAGCCTTTATTAAAGACTGAGGATTAAGTAACAATCTCCACTTGTTCTTGTTTTTAGTTTTTTTTTTATTGATCTCGACATTTGTTGTAATATATTATTTTTATTTAGAAAATGTTTTTATTTTTTAATAAATATTTTGTATGTTATAAAAGTTTAAATTTTTAGTGAAATTATATTAAATTAAGATGAAAAAAAGAAAAAATAACTAGGTAGGTTTTTCTGGTCGGGGATTTTTTTGCCAACCTTGGAAATTCCAGGCTGAAATCCTCAGAAAAATGAGGATCCGAATTTACTTTCAATCTTTGGCTAAGTAATTTTCGAAAGTTGCCGGTTTTATTCAAAATCAAATATAATCGAATCCTCGGAAAATGCAGACCAAGCCATTTTTATTAAAATATCATTAAGAATTTCGACAGCATAAAAATTTAAAAATGTTATTGTCTGTACGCAAATTTTGCCAATATCTGCTCGAGGATTGCATTGCTAGAATTGTAATTGTACTGACACTGTACCTGACCTTGTTTTGCCTTCTATCTTATTTTACTCTGTACCTGGCTCTGCTTTATTTTATTATTTTATTTTATGTTTTATGTGGTTTCTGGTACCCCATTGTTGTATACAATATAATGCATTGTATTATAATGTGACCACTAAAGGTAATCATTGTTAATTTTATATCACTAAGGTAAATTTATGTTAAAGAAATTGTGAGATTACAAATTATAATTAGTGAAAAGTAGGATTATATGTAAATGTAAATGAAATATAAATGTAAATTTTGAAAATAGTCCACACAAGCTCATAGAGCTTAGGGACTGTTCTGTGATGACGATTTTATTTTTAAATAAACTTATTCTTATTCTTAATTATACAAAAAAAATCATTATTACCTTGGCGTAGAGTTGCCCAAAGAGGCAGCTTTGGTGAACAGATCCTGCATCAAGGAGGGCGACAGAGGCAAGTCTTCGTGCCTCGTTTTGGATCGGCTGCTTCCGCTGGGGCGCTTTCCGGCGCGCTTGCGCTTCAGCACGTCGGTGAGACGGACGTGCGAAGGACTGGGGGAACGCGCTTCGGCGTCCTGAAGACGCGCGGCCGCTTCCGGCGTGGAAGTGTACATGGTGGTCGAGACTGGCGTCAGAGTGTTGGAGGTGGAACCGTTGGCGGTGGTGCTTAGGGTGTTGCTGCTGCTCGATTGCGAAGGTCCCGGTTGAGAGTCGTTCGGGGTCGTGCTGTAGTATTGCTTCGGGGGACTCACGCCCAAAGGAACCTTACGACAGAAAGCATTCTTAAATAGTTATTTATGTATCAAGGCAGTAAAGTCGTATTTTTATCACGAATGTGGAAATTATTTGCCGAAGCTAAAGCCGAGGCAAATAACCACGTGAGTGATAAAAAATGACTTTAATGCCCAGGTGCATATTAAATTTTATCCGAAATCACATTTAATAATACTAATAATACCTATTTTTGGGCTGATTTCAAAAATGCCATTCGTTTTGCTCCAGGACGTCTACGATTCTAAATAATTGCGTAATAAAATGCTCTGCCCAATTATCTCAAAATGTAAGTTTTTCGTTAATATTTTGATTATTTATTAAATTATTTTGCCTTAAATCTATTTTGGATGTTCACTATATTTTTGACGTTTATGTCAAAAACATACAGGTACTCTATGAGGTACTCCATACAAAGTCATCGATAGATAAATGTCAAATAGAAATTTTGTTTATTCCATTGTAGCTGTATACTATAGTAGTATTATACTCGTATAAGGGATATTTAATAATAATTTCTGAAAAAAAGTGCTTTATTAAATACCAAAACTAAAAATATAATGTTTTCTTTGGTAAAAAGTATAATTTTTGAAATTTTTGTGTCGTTTTTTTAATTACTAATTAAATTGAAAAGGCAACAAAGTAAATGGTTTCGGTATAAACATTACTCTTCGACTATTTTTTATTCATGTCTAAAGTACCTAAAAATTTATTCTCCAATCTTATTTATTAAGTCTTATCAAAATTTAATATCGAATTGAAGTATTAAGACGCCTTTATCTACTTTACCGTCCAAGCACATTAAAGTGCATCTATTAATTATTGACATTTAAAATTTAACTTTAAATTGTATTTTTACTTGAAAGTGATTTTAAGAAGCAAAAATGAAAAAAGAGCAGGAAATGGAAGTGGTAATGGAAGTGGCAGAGAAAGAGAAAGGAGACGAACCTTTATGTCGTCGTTGTAAATTTGTTTTGTTTTTGTTGCGGTACCTTTACGCCCAAGAAAAACCAACGGAATATTTCATTACAAAATTTTATGAGATATACCTACTACTTTAATTTTGCAGGAATATTAAATGAACCTGATATACGACGTTTAATGAAAGATCAAGCATTCAAAAATGCTCTCAAAGTTGACGAGCTTGTCGCATATGGCAGTGTTAAAGCTGTCATTGAAAATGTTCTTGGTTCATATCGGGCCTAAAATTGGCGCCAATTCATTGAAAAAATGCTCTCCGTTTTGTAAAGAATTAGCGTTAATATGTCATTTAAAATACATTTTCTTTTTTTTCATCATAATAAATTTGCCAAACTGATGAACATGGAGAACGATTTCACCAAGTAATTGCAAATCTAGACCATTGGTAGATATGTATGGGTATAGCGGAAAGAAGTTGGATTCATTGCTAGGCAGTGGCGGCTGGTGGATTTTAAGTATACCAATATCTCAGTTATTAGACATGGGACCCACACCAAATTTATAATAGTTTATAATGACATTAAATAAACAAGTTCGGCGCAAACAGAATTTAAATTGAAGTTTGCGAAAAAAAGTTAGTTTTTCCTGTCGCCTCACCCGCCTCCAGGCCCCCCTATTTGAAATTTTATTCGATTTTAAATTTTTATTATTTATTTTATTAAAATAAAAAAATATTTAAAATGGTATAAAACCTGTAATATTTGGATTTTTTAAATAAAATTTTAAATTTGTCGATAAATTATAGTAGATAATAAATTGCACCACTTTAATTTGAATTATCTCAAATAGAGGGGCCTGGAGGCGGGTGAGGCGACAGGAAAAACTAACTTTTTTTCGGAAACTTCAATTTAAATTCTGTTTGCGCCGAACTTGTTTATTTAATGTCATTATAAACTATTATAAATTTGGTGTGGGTCCCATGTCTAATAACTGAAATGTTGGTATACCCAAAATCCACCAGCCGCCACTGTTGCTAGGAGACATTTGCTGGAATTTGCAGCAAAAGATCTACGACGATGATGAGGATTAAGCACAATAATACTATAATCCAATTTGATATTGAGTATGAGTATGGGAACGTATGGCAGGCCCCAGATATATTATCAACCACTAATCTCCCGGGGTTATTTTACCCCCTTTCCGTTCTCCTGCGTATCCCGCCAAATCACAGCATTACCTGTGTTTGTTGGATCCGAAGTTTTTACGCCGACTGGTAGATCCACCCTGGGAGGTCGTGGATGACAGTGTCAGAGGTTAAGGCCGCTCTCGGATTTTTGTCAGCCGGGTCGGGCCATACGTCCATTTTAGGAAGGGTTTTTGGAGGACATTGAACTGACCCAAAACTAAGTACAATCCGGAATCCTTCTCAACCTAGGCCTCAATTGGTATTTCTGAATAGGGGTGGGTATGTTAGTTCTTTGCTTACTCCGGCTACCAACCTTGTATATTCTTAATTTATTTTATTGCTAAATTAGTGTTTATACCGTTTTCATTTAATTTATATATTTGCATTCTTACTTTTTTTTCCAAATTTAATTTAATAATCCAATTTAATATTTGATACAATTAAATAAATTTAAGGTAGAAAAAAAGCAAATGCATTAAGTTTTGAGGGCTTAATTTAGATAAAAAATACCAAAACTTGTTTACTTTTTTGCCCTTTCAATTCAATAATTAAAATAAAAGACAAACAATGATTGTTTTTTACATAAAATACATTAAAATTTTAGTTTTAGTATTTAAAATATCATAAATATTATCTATTTGACATATACCAAGTACTTTAGTACATTTAAGATAAATTTAAGCCTCAATAATTTAATAAATAATTAAAATACCAACAAAAAACTTTCATTTTGAGGTGATTGAGCAGAGCATTTTATTACGAAATTATTTTATATCCTAGACGTGATAGAGAAAAACTAATGACATTTTTGAAATCAGCGGCCTAAAATTAGTTAAACTAAGCTGGAGTACTTAATGTTAGGAAAAAAAGTTTCTAAAACTATCATATTGTTATCATAGACTTTTAATTAACAATCAGTTGATTTAAATCAGCCCTAGCCTGCTACATAAAGACTTTTTTCAATAAAATTTAAACAGTCATCACTTGAAGGCCAATCAATTCATATTTTTGACGTTAAACGTATTTGAAAATATGAGTTTGAAAACAGGCCATGCAAGCTGTTACAACACTTACCTCTGGATCAGCAAGTCTGTTGATCTGATGCATGACTCCTTCACGTCGAAAATGAACGCCAAAGTCTTTGGGCAATTTGGTAATTAGAATTTCGGCCATTTGCAATGCGCCGACGACGATTCTCAGATCGCTGGAAGCCATCATACCGGCAATGTGACTGCTGACAACCTGGTTCTTTAGAACCTCCTTAAGCAGTTCAGGCGAAGCATAGTAAACCATTCTGAGTAGGGCTTTGAGGCACTTGCAGCGCACAGCCGGTCCTGCGCTCGACGAGTAAACTTCGTAGAGCACGCTGAACAAAGAACGAATAAAAGTGGCCGCTAGGCCGCGTTCCTCTCTCAAGCAGGCCACGCGCGCGTCCCTGCTCGCAGAACTCGGACGTCCGCTGCCAGACGAAGCTGGTTCCGAAGGGGTCGAGTTCTGAGCGGGTCCCGTCGGGTTGAAACGACGTTGAACAGGTCTTGTGGTACCTGAAAATAAGGTCATGCCATTAAAGCACCGTATAATAAATCCCTATGCTTAATACAGGGCTCCATGGATAAATTACAAATTTTATTTAGGAATTTAGGAAGTTTTTTGTAAAATTTTAGGAGAAATAAAGTAAGGAAATGAATTTTTTTAATTAAATAAAAACAACTCTTTTCTACTTAAAAAATAAGAAAAAAAGTAATGCTTCTTTTGTAAAAATAGGTTATATTGACTAGTTTTTTAGCCAAATCGAGTTTTTTTTTAATAAAATTAAAAGTGGTAAAATTAATCTTTTGTATATACACTCACGTGCAAAATAATCGGCCCACACAAATTTTCGATGAATTTCAATCGCAAATAACTTTTTTATTTGATGTCGGATTTAAACGAATATTAAAGAATATTGTAGATAAATTAATGGACAATCGCTCACATTTTAAAAAAATACTAAAAAATAGACGTACGTTTATAATATACAGGTTTAAACAAAAATATGTTTTTTTACCATGAGTTTAAGACACTCTGTAGAGTGGCAAAACCGTATATTGTTTTAAATTAAGTTTTATTTATCAAGTCACATCTATTCTTAACAGTTTTGTTTTTGGTTCACCTCGATATATTTATTTTTGTGGAAAATATGGATTTTTTTAAAAAACATTGCAATTTCCAATATTTTTCCTGTATGAAGAACTAAGGTTGCTATGGTCCATCCATAGCCTATGGAGAATGACAGTGACAGTTTTGTTGAATCATCCCATACTTGGACATGTCATATACAGCTTTCAAAAGCTATCAAATTGTTTTTTGTAAATTAATGTTTTAATTTTGAGGTGTCTTCTTACTTTTAAAAATGACTCCAACTGATATTGCCCTTTGTACTTTACTTCTTATGACGTTTAAAACACTTGCCACGTAATACTGTGACCGTCCATCCTGGATTAAATTAATAGCTCTGGCAACATCAGTCGGAGACATATCCATTTTATAAAGTAAGAAGACACCTCAAAATTTAAACATTAATTTGCAAAAAACAATTTGATAGCTTTTAAAAGCCGTGTATGACATGTCCAAGTATGGGATGATTCAATAAAACTGTCACTGTCATTCTCCATAGCCTATGGATGGACCATAGCAACCTTAGTTCTTCATACAGAAAAATATTGGAAGTTGCAATGTTTTTTAAAAAAATCCATATTTTCCACAAAAATAAATATATCGAGGTGAACCATAAACAAAACTGTTAAGAATAGATGTGACTTGATAAATAAAACTTAATTTAAAACAATATACGGTTTTGCCATTCTACAGAGTGCCTTAAACTTATGGTAAAAAACATCTTTTTGTTTACACCTGTATATTATAAACGTACGTCTTTTTTTTAGTATTTTTTTAAAATGTGAGCGATTGTCCATTAATTTAACTACAATATTCTTTAATATTCGTTTAAATCCGACATCAAATAAAAAAGTTATTTGCGATTGAAATTCATCGAAAATTTGTGTGGGCCGATTATTTTGCACGCGAGTGTATATGAGGTACATACAGGGTGTTTCATAATATATACGCAGGACTTCAGGATGTGATAGCTCATCCGAAAAGATGAAAAAAGTCGCTATTAACTTACCCTCTTAAATGCACAACTTTCGAGATGCAGAGTGTTGAAATTTTAGAAAAAAAATCGTTTTTTTCGAATATCTCCGAAACCGTTTATCGTATAAAAAACAGCTTTTGTAAGCATTTTTTACTCATAATAAGCTGTTTTGTGCCAGAAAAAATTTTTTTTTTACTCATAATTGGTGGAGATTTTGAAGGGGTAGCGGGTGTTTTTCTCCTCAACATCAAAAGTACGGTTTTGAGAGGCTCATTCGAACCGCCAATGTTTTCTACACAAAAAAGGTACTCTTGGTCATAAGCTCTAAAGTTGACCGTTTTCGAGAAAAATCGACTTTTATGTTTAAAAACATGGTCAATTTTTTGAAAAAAAATTTTTTTTTACTAATTAAACAAAATTTATTTTAACGTTAGAACAAGTAACAAACCCAAACGATAATTGCAGAATTAAAAAACAAAAATAAAAAATGATTTTTTACACAAATGCTGAAATGTGCGAAATGCGTTACCTTTACGGTTTGGAAAATTTTGCAAAGACAACTTTTGAATCATTTTTTATTTTTTTTTTAATTTTGCAATTATCGTTTGGTTTTGTTACTTGTTCTAATGTTAAAATAAATTTTGTATAATTGGTAAAAAAAAATTTTTTTCTGGCACAAAATATAGCTTATTATGGGTAGAAAATGCTTACAAAAGCTGTTTTTTTTACGGTTCCGGAGATATTCGAAAAAAATATTTTTTTTCTAAAATTTCAACACCGTGTATCTCGAGAATTATTATTATATTATATTATTATAATTATTTCGAGAGTAATATTATGCTTTTTTCTACTCAAGTTAGGTAATTTTCATTGATAACAAAATGTATTATAACCACACTTTCCCGATTTTAAAGATCATTATAGTCGCTCCTCGTATATATAAATAAATCTGACATCTCTTAACCTTACTTTTTTCCAATTTCCATAAAAATTCCCAATTTTCAAGAATATTATTTTCCAAAAAATCGTTAAGCCTGAATTATAGATTGCCTTCCTTCCTTCCTTCCTTCCTCCCGTAGAAGATGAACATTACGTAATTTTCACCATTAACATTTCCCGTGTAAAAATTTTTAATACTTTGTGATAATATTTTGCAATTATAGTAATAAAAAAAATCAAAGAATAAAATATTTTCTTAACAAAATCATATTTTGAAGTTATTTTAATATTTTAAAGTATCAATAATTATTAAGTTTAATTAAAATTAATAACGGGCAATGTTAATGGCGACAATTACGTCAAAAATGTTTATTTAAATCGTAGTGCCAGTTATAGATTTCCGTACCGTAAGGACGGCATTCCTTCCTCCCGTAGAAATTTTAAGTTTTATCTTTCACCGTAAAGGTCTTTGACAGTTTATTAAATAATTTGTGTCTCTAAATAGGATATTTATGCAGTAAACTATCTTTTAAGTTAAATAAATCAGTTAAATACCTACTGCTTTTTATAAAAATGTAGTTTATGCTAATTTCCCACAAATTTCTTGTTTAGCAGTTACTGCCTTTTTCCATAGTTGGGCAGTATACAACAAGCTGCCTGGGCAATTAAAATTGTGATCACTGCATTAATATATAAATGATTATCTTTCATATTTACACACAATGGGTAAAACGCAAAATATAAACAAAAACAAATGTCAACCATTTAAGGTGTCATCGCGCATGTTTACGGAATTTTACACGGAAATCTATAAATTGAGTTTTTACAAGGCGCACCAATCGTACGGGCACGACTACGGGAGGAAGGCAATCTATAATTTAGGCTTTAAACATTCAAAAAGCTTTTGATGTTTTTAGTGCTTTATTTATTAGTTTTGCTTGTTTTTCTATTTTAGGTTTTCAATGTTTTCTCCCAAATAATTTTTTTGCAAAAGAAAAAAATAAATACAAAACACCATCTCATCGTCACTCCTGGTTCTTACCTGTATCTTCATTTAACTGTTGCATGGTATGCAAGTCAATGGTGTATATCCTTCCCAAAGTGTTTAGGCTGACGTCATCGTCGCCGACCGTATGAGCGGCCTCGATGATTCTGCTGTCGACGGGCCCGTACGGATGCCACAGGCCGCGATCGTCGCGCCACTGCCAGACCGGCTGGTCTTTGGCTACGCTGGCCGGACGTTCCAGTAGAGCGTCGACGGCGAATATACCGTCGGTGGGAAGTTTCGGCATCAGCTCGCCTATCAACGCGGTTATCTCGAATTGCTCTTGGGGTTGTCTGAAAATTAATGTTGTTCAAATTTCATGGCTACACTACTTTGTTTACAATCAGTGTTGATTAAATATACTATGTGTGGGGTAGAGATTAGACTAGGCCAAAAAAATCGACTATTTTTTTTGTAAAGTATATCGAAAATATTTTTTGGGGTGACAAAAAAAATTATGGTGAAAGTTTGAGACCATTATATTAATATTAAGAGGTCTATCATCGCAATTTTAGATTTTTTTTCCTGAGCGAGTTTTTGTCTCAGAACTCCCAAACCAAAATAGGACAAATACGAATACTGACTGAAGGTGCCAGACTCTATAATGATATACCAGAAGAGATCAAGAACACAAAGAACTATATAAGTTTTAAAAAACAATTTAAAAAATTATTTATTATAAACAGAAGGCAAAACACCCTAATCTAATGTGTATTTTTTTTCTTGTTTACTGCTGTTTATATTATTTATACTATTTATTGCTGTTATTTAAACATCAAAATATACAGGGTGGTCCAAGATTAATCTGAAAAATTTTAATGATCGATAGAGCCTGAATAAACAATAAAAACAAACCCAAAAACATTTTTCAAAAATGCATACTAACGGAGATATAGTCCTTCAAAATAATTTTTAAACCATTAAACCGATTCTTCTCAAATTTTGTGTAGGTTAAGCTTCCGTCGATAATATAATGAAAATTTTCTACAAAAGGCCCAGTGGTGAAGATTTTGGGAGGGGTTTCCCCTTTTTACCCTCATATTTTCGACGCCACTGGATTTTATTAGAAAATCATCAGATTTATTTTTATCCTTTTTCGATCTAAAAGCAAAACTTTTATGTTTATTTTTTATCAGATCAACGGAGATATTTCAGTTTAAAATTTCAAAAACACTGTGTACACGGAACTTTTGTTATTATTTTAGTAATAAAAAATTATTTTTTTTCTGAACGATTGTTTTGGGCCAATAAAAATTTACCAATGAAATTATGGAATAATCACTTTCAATAGGGTGGTTTTTGGGTTGGTTTGATTTTGTATTATAATACAATTAAATTATTAATTACAGACGTTGATTGTAATGCTCAATCAACGTTACAATAAAACAACCTAAAAATATGACGGGATCAGTAATAACTGCACGATGACTCCTGGACGCTAGTTTATTTTTATAATATTTTATAAACTGATAACGTGGCATAATTGTTACCAAGTTACCGATTTAAAATAAAATATGATAAAATTCCGTGTACTCGGTGTTTTTGAAATTTTAAAGTTTCCGAAAACAATTATCTTATGAAAATTTAACACACAAGTTTTGCTTCTAAATTGAATAAGAAATCTGATGATTTTCCAATAAAATCCAGTGGTGTCGAAATATGGGGGTAAAAAGGGGAAACCCCCACAAAATATCCGCCGCTGGGCCTTTTGTAAGAAATTTTACCTAGGTACACAAAATTTGAGCAGAAGTTATTAAAAAAAAACGTTTTTTTGCCTTTGAAGGGCTATTAGTGTGTTAGTGTGTATTTTTAAAAAATATTTTTGGGTTTGTTTTTATTGTTTTTTCAGGCTCTATCGATCATTAAAATTTTTCAGATTAATCCTGGACCACCCTGTATATTATTGCTAATATAACACATATCTGTCAAAGTTCTATTAACCAGTAGATATTATTCTCAATAAAAAAAAATTGACTTAAGAATATTTTTTGAAAAAAATTGAATGTTCTACAAAAAAGGTTTGATTGGAATTTCCCGTCAGATGAACCGTTTTCTTACAATCATGCCTTAAAAATTGGTATAAATTTACAATTTGATCTTTTAACTTTGGAATTTTGTAACTCATGTAAAAATCAGTACCCGGAAAAAAAACCGATAGATATTCTTATGGGAAATCAAATGCTCTACAAAAAAATCTCCTAACATTTTTGGCTAAACTCACTCCATCAAAAGTTATTCAAGGTTCAATTTGAAGTCAAAACGAAATTCTTGTTTTTTCCGCTCTAGATTTTTTTTGGGTCAGTTAAAAACTTGAATTCTTTTATCGATGATAATCTTTATGTTATTGATAAAATTACTAAAAATTAAAAAAAATAACCCATTAGAGCTATTTTCTTTGGAAAATATTATTTTCACTGTTACTTATTTAATTGTTTAAATAATAACAATCATGTTGTTTTTTTATTGGAAATTGTTAATTAGTTATATAATACACATTTATAAAGAAAATAATCAAATTATCACCCATACAAAAATAAATCTACAGAGGAAAAAACAAGAATTTCGTTTGACTTCAACTTTAACCTTGAATAACATTTGATTGAGTGAATTTAGCCAAAAATGTTAAGAGGCTTTTTTGTAAAGCATTTGATTTCCCATAAGAATATTCATCGGTTTATTTCGGGTAGTGATTTTTAAATGAGTTAAAAGATCAAAATGTAAAACAATACCAATTTTTAAGGCATGATTTTAAGGAAACGGTTCATCTGACGGAAAATTTCATTTTAACCTTTTTTTATGAGCATTTAATTTTCTTAACAAAATATTTCTAAGTCAATTTTGTTAAACAAAATCTTGCTGAGGAAAAAAATTAAAATTGCGATGATAGACCTCTTAATATTAATATAATGGACTCAAACTTTCACAATCATTTTTTTTTGTCACCCCAAACCATATTTTCGATATACTTTTCAAAAAAAAAAAAATAGTTGATTTTTTTGGCCCAGTCTAATGTACACCTTGCAAGGATATTTTTGTTAAATTTGTTTAAAAAATAATAAAACAAACGTATGGTTTAATATTCACTTAATGTTTTAATAGTTATTTACGATATAAGTGGGATAAGAGCTTTATTAACGTACGCATGCGCAAAAGTACGTTAATAAAGCGTTATCACACGTATATTGTACAAATTTTTATCTACGCCTCTAAATGAAAAAATAAACGGTAATTATTTTTGTCTAAGACTTAATTTAGGGTTATTTTGACATTTTGACTTTTTTATTTGATTGGTTAAAAGCAGAGAAAAACGCGTGCGTTAATGAACTTCTTATCTCACTCAAAATGAGTGGGATAAGAAGTTCTTATCTCACTGGCGTAGATAAAGGTTTTTAATTTATGTTTTTATTTATTCACAATAAATGTTTTTAAAAGTTCTTTATGGACAATTTGCCTTTAATTTACAGAAGTAATTTTATATAAATTTGTACGACTTAGTTTAAGTTTGCTTTCATTATATTGTTAAACTGTCCTATTTTAAGATTCTTCTTACCTTGGTATTAATTCGACGTCATCTTGATTAACTTCAGCAGAGCCTGTTAGAAGGTAAAGTAACGTTTCGGCGATGTTTTGTTTTAGAAGTGTTAGAGCCAAGTCGGGGCAGTTGGCACACATAACTGACAACATTCTGAGCACGGTTATAAAAGTGCCGGTGCTGACGATAGGTGGCGTCACGACCAAAAGTTGTTGCAAGTTGGTTAACAATTCCGTGCTGGCGATTTCTTGAAGACTGAAAGAAAACACAAAACGTTTGCAGATTGGTTTTAATTAACAGGCATGTCATGTTAATATTATAATATAATTAATGTTTGTGGGTAATAGCATACACAGTAAAACTTAACCTTTAGAAGTGTCTGCACCTGAATTACCAGTTTATATTGGCTTATTAATGACTACAATAATATTGAAAAAACTAATGTAGTTAATACAAGAGAATTATTTCAATATAATATTTTAAGCAGTAAGAAAGAAGATAAATTCTTTATATATTTTAAATTTATTGTTATTGGTTTTTTTTCACAATATTATTGTGAAAACAAAAAACCAATAACAATAAATATAGATCACCTTCTATAATATCTAACAAAAAATATTAATTTTGAAATATTTTTTAAAAAGCCGTAACAAGATTACACAAAACAAATTTAAAGGGTTTTATCGTAAGTAATATCATAAGGCATTTAATTTTTCCGAAAAAAATCGAAAAAACACGTTGCTAAGTAATATTTGAACAAGAAGCATGAGTGCTGGTGGCAACAAAAATCCGAGTCGAAGAGGAGGATTTTTGCACCTGCACGAATGCATTTTGTTAAAAAATATTACTTAGCATTGTGTTTTTTCGATTTTTTTCACAGGAAAAATTAGATGCCCGAATGGTATTTGACAAGACTATTTCATGAGTAACAGTTAACAATTAAAATATAAATTTCAATTTTTGATGACAACAGCTCAAGTCAAGTTTTGCCGCAGGTAAACTCGAAAAAACTGCTGACAGGTGCTTTCACACAGTTTTTTCACCTAGAAACCATTTGTAATTCAAAATTGCGCGTTTGTGATTGGTGGAAATTAAGACGAGGGAAATAGTCGGTTATAAACTAACAGTGACACTTGTGTCCGTTATAAACATTTTTGAAGTGAAACTTCTTTCATGGCGTTCTGATATTTGACGAGAATGGAGAGTGAATTGGAAAAAATGTAACGTTCCGAGATTTCGTTACACGAGAGAGAAAAAAGATATGAGAGAAGGAGAAATAGAGCTATACGAGTGAATCCGATCGCCCCACCCAGATTCATTGTAAGCAGATTGCCGGCGTAGGCAAGGATTCAGTTTTGTTTTGCATTTGCTAGTGTATTTCGAGCGTTGTAACATAAATGAATGTCTTTTATTTAAAATTATAAGTTATAATATCCTACACATTGCAAGAGAAAAATTGACATGATAAGCTGGTCTTTAGTGTTCTATTCCGTCAATTAGAACAATAACAAACGTTATCCAAAGCAGTGGCGGCTGGTGGATTTTAAGTATACCAATATTTCAGTTATTAGACATGGGACCCACACCAAATTTATAATAGTTTATATTGACATTAAATAAACAAGTTCGGCGCAAACAGAATTTAAATTGAAGTTTGCGAAAAAAAGTTAGTTTTTCCTGTCGCCTACCCTGCCTCCAGGCCCCCCTATTTGAGATAATTCAAATTAAAGTGGTGCAATTTATTATCTACTATAATTTATCGACAAATTTAAAATTTTATTTTAAAAATCCAAATATTACAGTTTTTATACCATTTTAAATATTTTTTTATTTTAATAAAATAAATAATAAAAATTTAAAATCGAATAAAATCTGTAATATTTGGATATTTTGAATAAAATTTTAAATTTGTCGATAAATTATAGTAGATAATAAATTGCACCACTTTAATTTGAATTATCTCAAATAGGGGGGCCTGGAGGCAGGGTAGGCGACAGGAAAAACTAACTTTTTTTCGCAAACTTCAATTTAAATTCTGTTTGCGCCGAACTTGTTTATTTAATGTCAATATAAACTATTATAAATTTGGTGTGGGTCCCATATTAGACATATGTCTAATAACTGAGATATTGGTATACTTAAAATCCACCAGCCGCCACTGATCCAAAGGTTTAAAACAATTGTTCATTTTTGAGTCGGAAAACGTAATTTTAGCGACACAAAGTATATAACTTGAAAAAATGATTTCTTGATGGCAAATAATTTGGTGAAAACTACACGCGCCGGTGTACACCATTTCGACAAAACTTGCTGCCGTTTGGTTTTAAACATTTACACAAAAAATTGCAAATTTTATTAAAAATGAAACCGTTAAAACCGCACATGTCTAAAGTAATTGGGTAGCGAGATACGATTTTTTATTTTTTACTCGCGTTTATTGGAAAATGTACATTTTCGTGAAATAAACGATATTCTAGCGCAAAATTACTTAAAAAAATAAAAATTGTTACCAAATGGTTTATTTCTACCAAAAATAAATCAAATAAACAATAAACAATTATGAGTACGGTAGAGTAGCGAATATTCTACTGTTTTTATTATTTTATAATAATGCGGCTTATTTGTAATAACGCGGTGTAAAACCGACAAAAGACAAAGGCGTGGCGCGCTCAAAGCATGCCGCTCTTTAGGCGCGTGCCGAAAGCAAATTCGCTTCTGTTTTTATGCCAAGGATATAAATTTATTTCAGATGAAATAATTCAGTAGTTAATAACTACTAGTTATATTAGATAGCAGTCAGTTCGATAAATTTTGCCCTATGTTTTAAGGTATTTATGAAATTTAACTAAAATTTCTCACATTCCCTAGTTTATAAGAAGTTTCACTTCTACCACATGATTTTTTATATTTCAAGGTTAACTATTTTAAACGATGCTTTATTAATTTGTCCATTCAATAACTTTACAGTAAAGCTTGAATTATAGATTGCCTTCCTTCCTTCCTTCCTTTCTCCCGTAGAAGATGAACAGTACGAAACCCAATAAACATTTTTGACGTAATTATCACCATTAACATTTTCCGTGTAAGAATTTTTAATACTTTGTGATAATATTTTGCAATTATAGTAATAAAAAAAATCAAAGGATAAAATATTTTTTTAACAAAATCAAGTTATTTTAACATTTTAAAGTATCAATAATTGTTAAGTTTAATTAAAATTAATAACGGGCAATGTTAATGGTGACAATTACGTCAAAAATGTTTATTTAAATAGTAGTGCCATTTATAGATTCCCATACCGTAAGGACGGCATTCCTTCCTCCCGTAGAAATTTCTAAGTTTTATCTTTTACCGTAAAGGTCTTTGACATGACCAATCACAGTGCTTGTTATGGACATGCGCTGTAGGGTGACAGCGCTTAGGCACAAAATATTTAAAATACATGATTGTTTAGTATTATTTAAGATAGGTGTTCAGTTTATTAAATAATTTGTGTCTCTAATAGGATATTTAGAAATTGTTTATGATCAATGTCTTTCATTTTTAGAAACGTTGCTTTGTAAAACCCCGTAGTTTCCCGGTCTTGGTAAAATGGGCGAGTCTTCCAACGTCTTGTTCGATGTTTTTTTTTTCATTATACTGCCTTACTATGGAGAAAGGCAGTAACTAAAAAAATTCTAAATGCGTTTTCTTGTGCTATGATAAAGCTATGTATTTAATTTTGTATCTTAATTCAACAAAGAAATACAGTAAACTATCTTATAAGTTAAATAAATCAGTTAAATACCTACTGCTTTTTATAAAAATGTATTTTAGGCTAATTTCCCACAAATTTCTTGATTAGCAGTTACTGCCTTTCTCCATAGTTGGGCAGTATACAACAAGCTGCCTGGGCAATTAAAATTGTGATCACTGCACTAATATATAAATGTTTATCTTTCATATTTACACACAATGGGTAAAACGCAGAATATAAACAAAAACAAATGAGAAGCATCCGTGCAAAACCGGCTATATCCACTTTAATAAAATGTTGGGAAAATGGCAAAAACTCTCGGTTTCCTGGCCTTTACAGATAAAAGAAAAAGCAAACTTGAGTTTTGTGGGCTTTGTGGTACTTAATTTATAAGACATACTTTCGTTTTCAAAAACTTTATACTAAAGCTAAAATTTTAAAAAATGTTTTGTATATAGCCAGCCGGTTTTGCTCAAAAACCGAATAAAATGTGAAAAAAACCTTTATTATTCAAAAATATTAACAAAATAAATTTAAATTAGTGCAAACATGAAAAAACAACAAATTTTAGTAGTAGTATCGACATATTCAAGTCGCTATGAAAACGTGGATTTGGCCGGTTTTGCTCCTAAAGCTACCTTTCAAATGTGATTTTAACATGGATATAGTCGGATTTAAACAGAATTATCTTGGTTGTCGATAGAAATGAACCCAAAGATGCGAAATAAAAGAAAAACAAAAACTGAATAAAATGGATTTAGCCGGTTTTGCACGGATGCTCCTCAAATGTCAACCATTTTAGGTGTCATCGCGCATGGTTACGGAATTTTACACTGAAATCTATAAATTGACTTTTTACAAGACGCACAAATCGTGCGACTAAGGAAGGTAATCTCTAATTCAGGCTTTAGAAGCGGTATATTTTATTTATTTTCAACGTCCCTGTAGCGCAGCGGATAGCGCGTTGGACTTCTAATCCAAAGGTCGTGGGTTCGATCCCCACCAGGGATGCATTGGCGAAAAACTTTTAAAAAAATTTTTTTTTGATATGTTTTTGTTAAATTTATAAAAGTAAATGCTCTCCAAAATCTGATATCAGAATTTAAACTTAAAAATGTCAAGCTATATATATTTTGAATAATATCTTTCAATAAATAAGTTATAACTTATATATTGAAATATATTATTTAAAATTCAAAATAAATCACAATAATAGTACATTCAGTAACAAGTTTGGAATACAGAATATTCCGCTCGAGGAAAAATTTGACACACGAGCCGAAGGCGAGTGTGACGGTTTTACGAGAGTGGAATATGCTATTCCAAACGTGTTTCAGACATTATTTTCTCTACGACTACGTAAGAATAGTAGCCCTTATATAATTTTAAACAGAGAAAAGAAACCAAGCAGTTTTTGACATTTAAGTTTTTTGTATTGTCAAACCATTTTGTGCCATCACAATTTTATAATGTAAATTATAATAAATTTAAACAAATGGTATTAGTTATTTACACTAAC